ATCAGAGGTTGCCATGGGAGGTAACAATGCTTTTAATTATTTCCAGCCATGCCCACAGTGCTGCTCTGCAGCATGGAATGATGGAATGACTGTGCAGGTCTTCCAAGAGTCTATTGTTGCGTGAGAGATGTAACGCAATCGAAAGTCGTGACTCATCCCTAGCATTCGCGAGTGTGCAGGTTTGGGCAGCTACGACTTGGAAGCAACGAGGAAATGGAGGCAAGTCTTGACTGTAAATCTGAACCCGCCAATGTTGCTGCTGTTTCTCGCAGGCACCATTTTATACACTTGCGGTATTGGGGCCTGGCGAAGCACATCCCTGATGTTAGGAGATTTAGAGTAGGTGCTTGTATTTGCGGTCTTGGAGTGTTGCCCCATTGTTGTTCCAGACATTGAGTGCTAAAATAGCTGTAAAGTGAGTTGTGTATGAATGTCAATTCACATAGGAAGTAACTGAATACATTACATAGTCAAATGATTACATACACTGAAAAGATACATGCCTCCATCAAGTTCAGACTCTCTTACATCTGTTTTTACTGTTGATCCAAAAGAAGGCAAAAAAAATGTTTGAAGCAATTTCCAATTTTGTATCATACTAGGACATAAAAACCTTCGTGACCCCAGCATAGTAGTCAGATCTCTCCTTGGATCAAGAAGCTTTTATCCCACAAATTAAAAATGATATCCTTGAATATTATTATTTTTTTACAACTATTCATCCAGTAACTGTTTAAGCATTTGTACAGACTATCATAAGACCACCTCTTAAGGTAGAGAATTCCACATTGTTATTGTTCTTACTATAACAAAAAAAAAAACCTTTCCTTTGCCTAATACTAAATCTCCTTTCTTCCAGTCTAAATCTGTGACCCCTTGTGTCCTATGTATAGTCCTGTTTACGAATACATTTCCAGACAACGGTTTGTATTGGCCCGGAATATATTTGTATATTGCCATCATATCCCCTCCGAAGTGCAGTTTTTCTACACTAAACAGATTTAAATTTGTTAACCTTTATGCATAACTAAGATGTTCCAATCCTTTTCATAATTTTATAGCCCCCCTCTGTACTTTTTCTAGTGCAATAATATCCTACTTTAGAATAGGTGCAGTATTTGATTTGTAAAAAGGCCAAATTATATTTTTATCCTAAGAATTAAAGCCACTATTTATACATGACAATACTTTACCGGCATTAGCAATTGCCAATTGACATTGCACATTGTTGCCTAGTCTGTTGTCTACAAAAATTCCCAAATCTTTCTCATTTGTTATTATCGCTAATTCACTACCGTTTAGGGTGGAAGTTGCTTGTGTATTCTATACTTTTTTTCTACATAAATTTAATCTGCCATTTGAATGTCCAGTCCCCCAATTTATCTAAATCCCTCTGTAGTGAAGTAATATCCTGCTAACATTGTATTACTTTACAGAGTTTTGTGTAATCCTCAAACACTGGAACATGACTTTCAATGCCTATTTCAATATAATTTATAATTGTGTTCGGGGCATTCTCATATGATATAGAATAAGATGGGTTGTAGAGGTGTAGCTTTAGGAATAATCGGTTGAGGTGTGCTGTACGCCGGTAAAAAGTGGGCTTACATAGAGGAAATATGAACAATGGGAGTGGAGGGTGGGGCTATTCGTCTGACCAACAAAGGTAAGTAGGGAAAGGGGGGAGTCCCTTTTATAGGTCTATAGCCCCTCCCACAACTTCAGGCCATGCCTTCCAATTTGTGTTCTCATATGATATAGACAAAGATGGGTTGAAGAGATGTAGCTTTAGGAATAATCGGTTCAGGTGTGGCGAAATCGATGTATGCTGTAGGCCGGTAAAAAGTGGGCAAAAAGACATATTAATGTAAAACATTATACAGGATCATAGTGCATTTGTTAACCATCAGGTAGACATTTTAATGAAAGCTTCCTAATTTCTGAATCGGCTGTGGTATGTAAGTCGCATAAGCCTATGATTCCCAGCGGCCCGTGTCTTAACGTGTGCGGGGATTTTTTGGTTATAGGCTGTGGAGGCTGCTCCTATCCTAAATGAATGCCCTGAGTAGTCGCTAGGGTTTAGTTCGAGCCAGGTGAATGAGTAGGTGGACCATAGGCGTGCGCAGCCTATTGTTGGTTTGTACATGAAATGCAATAATGTCTAAGAAGCCTGTATTACACGAAAAGACCGGTAGGGGTCAGTGTGTAGGTGAAAAATTGTATTTCGTTTGTAGTTTTAACCGAACAGATTTTAACCAAAACAGATTTTAAACAACAGATTTTACATGAACAGCTAGGTGAGTATAAGGTAACGAAATAACCGTTCAAAACAAAAGGAAACCGTAAAGTGAGGACCCATGCTGTGCTGAACACCGTGGGAACTAATCCTGGCGCGACAGGTGGGTCAACTTACGGTTTGAGAGTCCCTGAGACACCAAATGCGATGCTGACCGGAGAGAAAGCCACTGGATTAACGGAAAGCCCTGCTGCAGGATTCCTGGACACAGCTTGGAGTAGGAGACCTCATGGAGCAAAGGTGAAAACAAAATGGCGTCTTGTATGACCTGGAAGTGGATCTCATGCAAATGCTGACCTCGAACAGTCTATTCGTCTGACCAACAAAAGGTATGTAGGGAAAGGGGGGAGTCCCTTTTATAGGTCTATAGCCCCTCCCACAACTTCAGGCCATGCCTTCCAATATATGCTAAATAGAAGTGGTCCCAGAACAAAACCTTGTGGAACACCACTTACCATCTTGAAAATTTACCATTAATGATGACTCTCTTAACTAAAAGAAATTGGTCTAGATGAAAATTCTTGTTCTTGTGTAGAACATTGGTTAAATGATAGTACAAAGACTAATCTATTGTGAGGAACTATATCAAACGCCTTGGCAAAGTCCAATTAGATCACATCCACTGCAACACCCTGATCTATACATCTGCTTTCTTTGTAGAATGCAATTCACACAAGTTAATAAGCTCACAAGTCTACATTTCCAGGCAAAGCTATTGAACCTCTATTTGAATATAGGAGCCACATTTATAATCAATTATACCAACATAGGATAGTACTAAGCCTACACTATGTGGTTAATTACCTAAACCACGCTTCCAATAAAAAAGATCCCTATAATTATTATTTTTGTGTATTTCAATAAACTGTACCATCCTCCAATCTTCTGTTACAATTCCTGAAAGAAGATAATCCTCAAAGATTAAACACAAAGGTTCTCTTGTTCCCACACTTAGCTACTTGAGCATTTGTGTGTGAATACCGCCATACCCTGGGGGATTGTTTACATTAGCTTTCTTTAGTTGCTGTAGCACCTTGTTTTGAGTCACCCAATCCCAATTTTTATGCAAGTTTTTTTGCAGCAATCATTTGCATATCTCTTGCCATAGATTCCTACTTAATATATACTGAGGAAAAATAGTTACTTACAATCTCTGTCTTTTCCTGGTCTTCATTAACTAACACACCCATCTCAGTTTTCAGTGTACCTAGACTTTCATTTTGTTTTCAAATTTCTGTACTTGAATTTTTTGGGGGTGGTGGTGGTAGGAATGTGAGGGGGGGGGGAATTGTTTTTTTTCTCTCTGATTTTCTCACTTGCTTTTTTGAGTTTATTTCAAAATACACTATATTGTGATCACAATTCCCAATGTCCCCTACCTATCAAAAGATCAACATTGTTTGTTAAAACCAGATTCAGACAAGAGTCTTTTCTAGATAGTGTTTGTACCAGTTGTAATATGAAGGTGTCAACTAACAGATTCAAAAACCTGATTTGCCTTCCTGAACTAGTCCCTCTATCCTAATTTATGCCCAGGAAATTAAAGACTCCACTAATTAACGTGTTACCCAGATGTGCAGCTTTCTCAATTTGCTCTAACAGCTGTTCTTCCTCATCAATATTAACATTAGTTGGTTAATAACATATCTTAACCAATAATTGACTTACCTTCTTTTGCCACAAGCGGGTATCCACCTATAAAGCTTCTACATTTTCATCGTAACATTCCACTTGCTTAATATTTGACTTTAACGCACTGTTGACATACAAATATACCCCACCAACTTTCCATTTTTTTTATATCCTTCCTAAATAATGTATAACCTTTTAAGTTACCTGCCCAGTCATCTGTCTCATCCCACCAGGATTCCATTCTGCCTATATAATCATATTGCTTAGTGTATGATATTGCCTCTAGTTCCCCCATTTTGTTATTCAGGTTATTTTGGTATGCATTGGTAAGCATACATTTTAATATATTTAATATCATGATAAGTTTCTTGAACTTTATGTGACTTTTTATTACACTTACATACCTCCTATGTCTTGATCTCGCCCCTAACCCCATCTCCACACCCTTGTGCTGAGTTAAAGTCCATCTCCTTTCGAAATTTTGTACCCTAGTGCTCTAAAAGGCCAAAACCCTCTTTCCTACACCATGACTTTATCCATGCATTAAACTCCCTAATCTTCCTAGCCTTTCTACTGTGGCACAGGTAATATTTCTGAAAATACCAACTTAGAGGTACTTTTATTCAATTTACTTCATAATTCTCTTAACTCATTCTTTAGGACTCTCCATTTTCCTCTGACTTTATCATTGCTACCAGTATTGACCATGACAGGCAGGTCAACCACAGCCCCTCTCAATAATCCATCCAGTCAGCAACAGGCCAGACCCAGGCTCCCGGGAGACAGTAAACTGTCCTATTTACTCTCTTAAGAAAATCATATCGTGACATACATGGCATGCTACTGGTGATTATGAAGTTATATAAATGCAGTAAATTGTGACTTAAAGTAAATGTCACAATCCACAGTGCCGATGTAAAGCACACCATTTTAGAAAGTTTTCTTCAAACCTCTCTCTCCTAAATGACAATCTTCTACATTAAAACAAGTTTCACCACTTTGATTGAGGTCACGATTCTTTAGCATTTAGAGCTGAAATTCCTTTCTCAAAACTGAATGTTTTTGTCACAAGCAGATAGATTGCAACGAGGACAGGAGCACTCAAGTGTGTCTGCTCTCAATGTAAAATGTCGAAACCCATCGTGTCCTTAATTGTTGCAGTTTCCTTGCTGGGTAAGTTAATTTTCAAAGACCATTAGTCATTAGAAGATTCATATTGTAAAGTAGCAAAAAATGTGTTTTGAGTGAATTTTATTTAAAAATGAGATATAAAACTTATAGGTGAGCATCTGCATTTCACAGGAAATCGGGAAAAGCTACTCACTGGGTTTTATTCAATAAACATCAAATTTTAGTGAATTAAAAATTATATTACAAAATATAGGTAAAAATAGCTCATTTGGAAATTCTCTAACTCAGGACAGTCACAGTTTTTTTTTTTTTTATTAATTTAGTGTAGCGTAGACTGTGGTGAAACAGAATTGTTAAATTTAAACACAAAATGGCTGTAAAATTATCAATCTCACTTATTATGGTATAAATTTTGCAGTTAATATTTAAATTCGCCATGGTGAATTGTTTATCAAATTAGCTCAAAATGTGTGTTTTTCTAACAATTTTATTTGAAAATGTCTGCTAGATTTTTTTTTTTGACAGTGAAAGGAATATTTCAGAAACTGTAGGTTTTACATTCTATAGTCTTTTTATGGTATCAATTTTATTAGTTTACTAATGAAATTAAAATAATTTTGTATTATGTCCTATACTTGTTATACTAATATAAACAGTGTATTATATAGAATGTAAAATGTTTCAGATTACAAAATGGAAACAAGTAGAACATGCTGACTAAGAATTTCAGTTGGACGGTTTGGAATTATTATGGGATTACGTACTTTTATTTTTGCGGCTTTTTTATTAATTTGAGCTGTGTGCTTAAGATAAATTTATAATTTACAGCAGGTTTGTTTTGCTTTTTCTAGGGATTTGAAAATTATTGCACCTTTTTGTATGTTTTATTGTGAATTTCTAATTGGAAACACACACACACACACACACGCACATATTTGAAAACACTTAACAGTACTGTAGGATGATATCTGCCCACTGTCAGTGACCCAGAGTCAACAGTTACATAGTATTTCATATCAGCATCCAGCAAAAGAGCTGTGATTAGTCGTGTGTTGGTGGACTGTGTAGAGAACTTAATTAAAAACAAAGGAAGGATCCGCACTCTTATCTTGTAGACCTTGGTGCACTATACCTAGGGCTGGCAAACACCTATTCCATATAGTAAAGACAATGTAGTCCAGGCACTCCGGGTCTTTTTCAAACAGCAGTTTTATTGGAGAAACGTTGCGATGTCATATTTCTCCAATAAAACTGCTGTTTGAAAAAGACCCGGAGTGCCTGGACTACATTGTCTTCACTGTGTAGAGAACTTGGTAGACTAGCATATGCAGTCTATGTTTATGTGAAAAAATGATTTTTTTAATACCTTTATTAAATCTATTTTTAAGCTATAGCATTCTATTTCAAGTGTAAGTTTCTTCTTTTTTTGGCCTTTTTTTGGCCACACTTGTAAAGTGTGTTTGTTGATAGGTGTCAAGCTGATGCACAGAACCAAATCAGGATCATGTAGTGGAAGAATATTCCTGCAGAGTATGGTTGCCAGGACCAATATATTTTCTTGGACACACTGATTCTACGTGCTGATGGACAATATATGAAAAGTGCTGTTTTACAATATGCATATGTTTCTTAAGTCAAATCAATTATGTAATCAAAGCAACGTGCTGTGATCTCATCTTCATTAATTAATTGACTTCTTTCCTGATGCATACTGCAGGTCAGCACTTTTCATGCACTGCCTGGTACCTTAAAGATGTGTCCAGTTAAATTTGTTAATTTGGGCTCCTCCCTGAGAGAGATTTCATCCAGAAATGCTCCGTTTCTTACTCCCATTTCAATGTAATGTGTATTTGTAGAAGGAAAAATCTACAGGTAGAAATGTTAATGGATTTTGTATAGAAAAATGAAAATGCATAAAGATGAAGACATTCCTTCAAGCTAGGAACAATCCAACTTTGGTACTCCAACCCTGCATCTCAAGTTACTCTATAGCCAAATGTTAGCCTAGATCTGAACTCATGGTCTTCGCACAGCCAGGAGGACAAGGTTCAATTCTTTTTAGATTCGGAACTACCAGGAATACACGGCCATTGATCCTCCCAGACTCTCAATTGCTGATTTGTCGAGAACTCCTGAGGAAATCGTCAGATTTCAGTTTGGCGTGGAGTAACCTATGCTGTAAAACTGTAAACTGCAAGTACTTTTTGAGTCAACATCCATACCTAATGCCATTGTTAACTTGATCCAACTAAATCAAAGTTATCCCTTCATACCCACAGCATCCAGATTGCCTTTTTCAAAGGGTGTAATGTTGCTGTAAAGTATGACACTTGATTTTCACATGCTTTGAGAATTTCCAGGGGTCAAGTCCTGGGGGGAAAAGTGTGGGAACTCCCAAGATTTTCACCACCCACCTTTAAAAAAATTGAACATACATGCATAGAGACACATGAATACAGTTATACAGACATACATGCACCCACTCATCCAGTCATACAGACACAAACACACAGATAGCTATACACACACACATACTCCGTCATACAGACACACATGCACCCACTCATCCAGTCATCCAGACACAAATACACAGATAGCTATACACACACACATACTCCGTCATACAGACACACATGCACCCACTCACACAGACACACACAGTCAGACAGTCATAAAGGCACACAGTCATACAGACACATTCTCATACAGCGACACACATACACTCATACATACTGACAAAGTCATACAGACACAAAGTTTGCAGCTGCAGCAATCGCCCAAATGCATTCAGTGTCCAGAAAAAAAAATGGTGCTTTCACATCCGAATCCTATACAAAGTGCCTCCAACAGGATGCACATTCACAATTATATTTTGGATAAACTATTAAAATTATTTTTTAAAATATTAAAATAAAAAACACACACACACACACACATTATATATAATATATATATATATATATATATATATATCTCAATATATAAAAACAAATATCAAATTATGAGTAGTTTTTTAAAAATGTGAAATCATTTGAAAAGCTTATTTAAAAAAAGATTACATTGAGGCCAAAATTATCAACAGACATAAAAAAAAAACAAAAAAACAAACAAAATCCTGTCAGTGACAGCGTAGATATTGTAAATGGGAGAGAGAGACTTACAGCGGTGTTAGCGATCTTTTAGCAACCATCACCCATGAAGCCCCATGTAGCACATCCAAAATAGTCACAGATTTGGGCTCTCCTCTATAGAATATAGCATAAAATTAAGTTAAGAGTAAAAACAGTACTTCCTGTGTGCCACCTTGGCTAACCAATACCCGTGCAGCACCCAACAACCTACCAAAGAGCTATACACAAATAGTGATGCACACATGCTCAAACTCCTTCACAATCACCATGCTACGTTCTTGATAGATTCATGCCATATTCGTTCCAGTTTAACAGAGTTTGTCTGATCCCAGCAGCAATTTAATGTTAGTGAGTGCGGTTTCCTTGTAAATAAGAGGAGTGTTGACTTGCCAAAAGTACAACTAAATATATCATGCAGACTTGAAGTGTTTATGGCATGACAGAAATTTAATAAAAGTTAGTGAGGCAAACATAGAGTCCGTTTGGGCTACGTTAGAATTTGGTAATCACACAGTAACTCGTGTAGGTGTGATTTATAGGCCCCCAGGACAAATTGAAGAGTTAGATAATCTACTAGTTGAGGAAATAACTAAAATGACAATGAAGGGGGAAGTTATCATCATGGGTGACTTTAATCTTCCTGATTTAAATTGGAAAACAAAATTAGCCACTTGTGCCAGGAGCACACATATTCTAAACTCCCTACTAGGATTGTCTCTAAAACAAGTTGTTGAGGAGCCAACTCGAAAAGAGGCCATACTAGATTTAGTGTTAACAAATCGAGATTTGGTATCAGATATTACTGTAGGTGAAAGTTTAGGATCCAGTGATCATCAGTCAGTGTGGTTTTAATATAAAAGAACAGTGACTGAGTCACACACCACAAAAACAAAAAGTTTTAGACTTTTAGAAAAACAGACTTTTTTCTAAAGTAGAATATGGGTAGAGTCATTATCAGACTGGGCAATTTAAATGGAGTCAAAATAGGATTATTTAAAAAGTTGCACTATTAGAGGCAACGAAAATTGCATTAGGCTTGTCAGTAAAAGCAAAAATTTCAAAAGAAACCACTGTGGTACTCATAGATGTAGCCAAAATAGTTAAAACAAAGAGGCTAAACGAAGTTATAAGAGCTTCCAAATCACACACAGAAGAAAATAGCACAGTCCGGCCAGTAAAAAGGGGGATAAAAACATTTTTTAGATACATAAATGAGAAAAGAAAAGTAAAACAAGGATTAGTTAGATTAAAACAAAAGAAGGAAGGTATGTAGAAGAGGATAAAGGTCAGGCTGACTGCCTCAATGAATATTTTTGTTCTGTATTTACAGAAGAAAATGAAGGAAAGGGACCTCAGTTGAGAAAAAGGATAAATGAGTCATTTATTACACGTGAGTTTACAGAGGAAGAGGTTCTATTTCAACTGTCGAAAGTAAAGACAAATAAGTCAATGGGACCTGATGGAATACACCCAAAGCTATTAAAAGAGCTTAGTGGTGTACTAGCAAAACCATTAACAGATTTATTTAACCAATCATTGTTAACAGGAGTAGTCCCAGAAGATTGGAAGTTAGCGAATATTGTGCCCATTTACAAGAAAGGTAATAGGGAGGAGTCAGGCAACTATAGGCAAGTAAGCCTTACTTCAGTAGTGGGGAAAGTGATGGAAACCATGTTAAAGGATAGGATTGATGAACATCTAAAAACACATGGATTTCAAGATCAGAGACAACATGGGTTTACTTCAGGGAGATCATGCCAAACTAATTTTATTGATTTTTTTGATTAGGTAACTAAAACTATAGATCAGGGTGGTGCAGTAGACATTGCTTACCTAGATTTCAGTAAGGCTTTTGACACTGTTGCACATAAAAGGCTTATCAATAAACTGCAATCTTTAAGTTTGGATTCAAATATTGTTGAATGGGTAAGGCAGTGGCTGAGTAACAGGCAACAGAGGGTTGTAGTTAATGGAATATATTGAAGCTTGGACTTGTCAACAGTGGGGTACCTCAGGGATCTGTACTTGGACCCATTCTCTTTAATATTTTTATTAGTGATATTGCAGAAGGTCTTGATGGTAAGGTATGTCTTTTTGCTGATGATACTAAGATATGTAACAGGGTTGATGTTCCAGGAGGGATACGCCAAATGGAAAATGATTTAGGTAAACTAGAAAATGGTCAGAATTGTGGCAACTGACATTTAATGTGGATAAGTGCAAGATAATGCATCTTGGGCGTAAAAACCCAAGGGCAGAGTACAGAATATTTGATAGAGTTCTAACCTCAACATATGAGGAAAGGGATTTAGGGGTGATTATTTCTGATGACTTAAGGTAGGCAGACAATGTAATAGAGCAGCAGGAAATGCTAGCAGAATGCTTGGTTGTATAGGGAGAGGTATTAGCAGTAGAAAGAGGGAAGTGCTCATGCCATTGTACAGAACACTGGTGAGACCTCACTTGGACTATTGTACACAGTACTGGAGACCGTATCTTCAGAAGGATATTGATACCTTAGAGAGGGTTCAGAGAAGGGCTACTAAGCTGGTTCATGGATTGCGGGATAAAACTTACCAGGAAAGGTTAAAGGATCTTAACATGTATAGCTTGGAGGAAAGACGAGACAGGGGATATGATAGAAACATTTAAATATATAAAGGGAATCAACACAGTAAAGGAGGAGACTATATTTAAAAGAAGAAAAACTACCACAACAAGAGGACATAGTCTTAAATTAGAGGGACAAAGGTTTAAAAATAATATCAGGAAGTATTACTTTACTGAGAGGGTAGTGGATACATGGAATAGCCTTCCAGCTGAAGTGGTAGAGGTTAACACAGTAAAGGAGTTTAAGCATGCATGGGATAGGCATAAGGCTATCCTAACTATAGGATAAGGCTAGGGACTAATGAAAGTTTTTAGAAAATTGGGCAGACTAGATGGGCCGAATGGTTCTTATCTGCCGTCACATTCTATGTTTCTATGTTTCTATATTTACACTGACCTCATCTTTAGATGGCGAGGATTTACGGCCGGGCCTATGGTGATTTTAAGATCCTAGTGCAACTGGATTTACCTGCAAAGATAACACTAGTCTAAGCACATAACTAACAAATATTACATAAATGCAATTTCAGGAATAAACGTCACTTATGTGATCTAGGTACAGAGACTATGTGAAAAATGTCAACCAAATTATTGTCACACACAACCTGCAATGTTATATTATGCAGCATAAATCCACATGTTGGCTGGAAAGTCCAGATAGTAGGACGCCTAGAAGAGTCCCCTTGACCATTAGAACATGCCAGACGCAGTGAGACTTCATTTTCAGGGATTTCCCTTATTTGTCTAGTATCTGGTATTGCTTGTAAGATTAAACATGGCAGAATTGCCGGAGAGCTGAAGAGACCTTCCACTGGCAATTAAAACGTTAGCAGCATCCACCATTTATTTAAAATGAAGAATATGAGCCTAGAAGAGTAAATTCTATTGCAGAAATGAAATTATAATGTTCCTCCTGACAAATTTACAACTGGGAATCCCTGGAAATTTTTTATACTTAACCCCTTAAAAACAAAGAGCATGCCATCCCTAACATACAGCATTCAGATTGCCAAACATAAGGTCCACAATGGATGAATACTGACTATAAGAAACAGCACATTCTCTCAATTATATAAATTATGCTTTAGGAGATTTTACTCAATTATAAAGGAATTTATATACTAACTTTAGTACACGGAGTCTGAAAACTGAATAAAAATTATAACCAGACTAGGAGTGAATTTTGCAGAGTAGAATCTTGCAAAAATAAAAATGATCACGAAGTTGTGACCCGGTGATACAAACAGCAAGTATTAAAAACTTTCAAATCAAAGTCAAATTTCCTTGGACAAAGTATAGCATACCAATGAAAACAGTCAGATAATTGCTTCAGAGAGTTAATTGCTCACAAGAGCCAATAAATAGCCAAAGCTGTGCACCTGCAATCGGCAAAATCTACTAAGCTGTGCACCTGCAATCAGCGAGATGTACTTAGTTGTGAACCTGTAATCAGTGAGATGTACTAAGTTGTGCACCTGCAATCAGCACTATATTCTAACAACTGCCTGATGGAGAGGGGGGTAACGGATCCCAGTACTCCAGCTGAGTAAATCCGTGAAGAATCTCCCAAGTCCCAAGCGCAGTAGTGATTATAAGTGTAAATATCCCCCAAACCCCCTAATCCCCCAAACATGAGCCTAGACTTCACGAAGGGGTAAAATGATCTGTTTAATCGAGGCTCAATGGCCTGCTTTTATACATTTCACAGTCACAGCAATCACACCCAGGACACTCTCACACAAAACACTCCCCTATTAGAGATAACTGAGTCAGGAACTGTACAAACTCAATTATCTCCAGGCACAGAAAACACACAATGTATAAAACAACCCAAAATACACATAAAATACACGAAAACCCCACAAAAGTTACATCCCGTGATAGCCCCGATCTGTGTGACCAACTCATCCAAAAATCACCTAGATCGGTTCAGGGGTTCGAGATTTCCATGGACATTAATTATTTGACCGACCACACGGTCCTATGCCCAAAACAGTTCCATGAAATCAGGGCTTGCGGTCGGTCAACTTTGGTAACATAAAAATGAAGTTTAAACAGATTCCCGAACTGAGGAATTGAATGGTTCCTGGGAAGGCAAAATAGGGGTTTGTCACATAGCTCCCCCCTAGTTCTATGGGACAGCATGCCCGCCTAGACCCAAACGGGTTGGCTTGGTAATGACCGGTCAAGTTGGTTATTTTTCTAACTCTGGAAAGTGTCAAACCAGGGACAACTAGGGCAAGCCACTAATGTTGGGGAGATTTAACTCCCGAACAGGGTCTTTGTATATGGCCCATAGTCAGTGGGCAGGAGGCTAGCGTCCACACTCCTCCGGTAGCCCGTGGCGAACATCCAGCCAGAGGGGTGTTCGTCACAGGGTGGATTTATTTATACTAATGTCAGAGTTTTACTTCCGTTTAGGTCTGCTATTAGGGGAGGAGCTAACATATGTAAATGCTGACATGTTTGATTTTTGATATTTCCAGTCCATCAAAATATCGTTCAGATGACTTGTATTTATGCTACCAGTGCCAGAAATCATAAATCAATAACGTTGCTTGGAGTTAGTGAATGAATATTTGTACAAGTTTTTAGTGAAAATTTATTTTTGTTTGCGGTGCAGCTGCTTTTGGAACTCATTCAAATTTAGAATCTGCCTTTGATGAGTTATAATAATAATAATAATAATAATATTATTATACAACGCCAACAAATTCTGCAGTACTTGGCAATCATGGAATGGGCATAACTGACAAGTCGTTGACATGTAAAATATTAACAGAAATGGGTACAGAAGGCCCTGCTCAAGTGAGCTTACAATCTATATTATATGTATTGATGTGGTCTGTAGATTTAAACAGAAAAACATGGAGGAAGCTACACATTTATGTTTTTCCCCAAGGTGCAGCTATTTCTAGGTGCAATCCGTGACTCTGCAGATTTGTCATTTGTTAGTATTTTTTTTTTGTTCCTCAAGGGTAATATAAAATATGCAAGCATGCACAATTTTCATAAGTTTGAGATTTGTTCTGTATTTATCATGAATACTTCAGTTTGATTTAGATTGTCTACAGCCTAGGCAAGATGTCAGATTGGTGCCCCCTCATAGATCCCTGAGCTCTGTTTCTGTGAGTAATATGTGTGTGGTGGACAGTGTTGTGTGTGTGGGGGGGAGGTGGAGAGCTGTAATTGGGGCTAAATGTGCCTGTATGTTTATGTGTGTGTGCTGTGGAGGAGTCTGAGTGTTCTGTGTGTGAATAGGTGAGTCTAAGTGTGGTTGAGTGTTGTATGTGTAGTGTCTGTGTGTGTGTAAATATCCAATGTGTTCTCCTCCAGTTTCCCTTTTGGCAGGTGATAGCGTAATCACTGATGGTCCAGTGGAGGCCATTCTTTGCAGGGTCCATGGTGGTCCACTGGAGGTACGCTGGGGAGCTGGATGCCTATTGGGTTGCTCTGTGCTTACTGGAACCTGCTCATTCACCCAGGGACCAAGAGAATCTGTCCAATCATAACTTTCAGACTAACTCAATCACTTGCATATTCTAATAATCAATAGCATATCAGGGGCAGACTGACAACACGGAGGGTCCCTAGGCATAATAAAACAAGGGCCCCTTGCCAGATTCCACCTCTGACCTTGGCAATTGGAGGGGCTGGAGGGACAATAGATCCCCCATTTAGTTTACTAGCCCCACTCCAACACACAGACAATGGTTGGTGATGGGATAGGAAAAGAGGTCCCCCATTATCATTTAGGGCCACCAACCGCAGCCAATTAGTGGCGGCTGGGGGGCACACTAGGCCCCTCATTTAATTTAATAGCCCAACTCACGTGGCACAGTTGGGTACTGGAGGGGGACATTATGCCCCCCCCTGTTAATTATTTTAAAAGGTGCCAAACATGGGGGCATAAGGGACCTGTGCCAGGTCCCCCTTTATTGGATTAGTGACTGGTGTCCCTTGTCTTTTTTTCACAACAGTGAGCTGATTACAGTTTAGTATACATACCCCTACTCGCGGTACAGCAGTAGGAGCAGAAGGGAGAATGTATTTACTAATACTAAGTATTTTTTACTTAGTATTCGTAAAGTTGGCTGAAAGACCAAAATTAAGAAAAGGAAGGATTTTCATAATTTGGGGTCTTTCAGCTGTTAGCAGATAGCTCCCTAGTACGTGTGGGATTGAGTTTTTTGGTACCCTGAAATATGACAATCGAAAATAATGTCTGAAAACAAATGGGCAAATTGTCTAAATTTGGTTTGGCCAAAATAATAATTTCGGCGGCTCCTAAGAATATAGTGCAGGGCGCTTGGAAAGGGCCAGTGTAGGCAACGTGAGAATACAGAGAACAGGTGAGTATTCTGGAAAAAAACAAAACTTTCCAAGACACAGGAAGTGGACATTACTTAAGCTCCACCATGAGTCTAAGAAACTCAATCTGGGGAAAAAGACATAACACAAAGTAGTCCTTACTTTGTCTTATGTTTTTAATTAGAAATAGGTAAAAACCAAAAAAAAAAAAAAAGAGACGAGGGAGGGAGAGACGAAGAGGGAGGGAGGGAGAGAGGGAGGAGGGAGAGGGAGAGGGAGAGACTCACACAAGGGGGTAAAGAGACCACAAAAATAGGATGAAGACACAGAAACATGAAAAGAATGCCAAACGGGGGATACAATATACAAAAAGGAAAAACATAAGAAAAGGGTGGCAAGATGCACAAAAGGGGCAAAAGTGTAGTGTAGACAGAAGTCCTTGCGCCGACCCTGGCCATCTACTGAAGCCGTGAACCGGAATATGACGTTATATTCCGGCTCCTGTAGCATCAGTAAACGGCGCGCAAGGGAGCAGAGCAGAGAGATCACAGCTCCCTCGCCGCCGTGGATTCCAACACAGCCTTACGCCTCCCAGCAGCCCCACTGGACCTCAAGGACAGGGCGACCATTGGGGAAGCCGGAGTGGGTGTTTGGGGGTGGCATTTTTTGCCGTCCCCTGGTTAGTGCCGCCCAAGGCAAATGCCTAGTTTGTCTTTGACTAAATACACCAGTGGTGCACTGTGCATGCTTATGACAGACGTATTTTTCCTACATATTTGACCTTAAGCAGCACAGAAGAGAGTTCTCTTCTGTGAACTGGGAGTGTAACTAGCCCCCGGCACACACGTGCAAATATCCCCGTGCAGGCTTTTAAGCAGAAATATTGCACATACAGATTCGATGACCAACTTTAAGCGCAGGTGTCATCTTTCTGGTTGAAATAACCCTTTAAGTTTTTTATTGTTGTTTCCCCCCAAAGATAATGTAGACAATACCAGTGTAATTAAGACATTTGCGAACAAAAGAGTTAATCTGGTACTTTTTAGATGACTTGAATGTGAGAAATTCTGGTTTCTAGTCCTGAGGGAAGTACCAGCCAGCTAAATGCTTTTTTTCCTCAAAATAGTGTATAGTGTATTGTATGTACCTTTGTGTGTTACAATAAGATATTTTTATGATACAATGTAACATTTAACTCAGGGCTCAACATTTTCATTTGTCTACTAGCCATTGCGAGTGGAAATTCACAAAGGGTTGCAAGGGACTTGGCTGGTGGGCAAAGAGTGTAATGGGCTATAACTGATGAAGGGCATGGCTGTGTATGGAGGGGGAGTATGGTATAGTATGGCATAGTATAGTATAATATAACAGGCAGCCAAGTAAGGGCAGGAGAAGGAAAAGGCAGAGCATGACATAAGGCATGGGGGGAATGGCAGAAACTATTAACCCCTTAAGGACAGAGTCAATTGTACACTAATCAAAACAAAACGTAAACAAAATCTGTAATTTGCACAATAGCTCTGTTCAACTGGAATTCACCTCTTTCATATTAAGTGCACCCACACTTATTATACATCATTTTGTTCAGGAGAAACAGGGCTTTCATTTCACATCAAATATATATAACAATTTATTATGAACAAAATCTAAAAAGTGTGAGAAATTAAGATTTTTTTAGTTTTGCATGGCATTGTAATGGTGAATGTCATAATACTGTTAGCTTTTACTTAAAGAAAATGCACATATTTGTATTGAGCAATGTCTCACAAGTACAACATTACCCCTCATAAACAGGTTTTATGGTGTTTTGGAAAGTTACAGGTTAAAATATAGCAAGTTCCATTTTTCAGTTGATACACATTGACATTTGCCAGATTAGTAATGTTGCCTTTAAAACCTTCATAGCCCAGGAATGAGAATTAACCTCATGATGGCATACCATCTGCATAAGTAGAGAATCCAGGGTATTCAATATGGGGTATGTCCAGTCTTTTATAGTAGCCACTTAGTCCCAAACACCAGCGTATGCTGTGAGTTGTACACAAAGGAATCATCAGTGGATCCAGAGATAGTGGTGGTCTTTTAGCTGTAAACTATTGTGCTGTCTCACAAGTACCTAAATATTGGCACTTTGTTTGTAAATACCCTTGTCTTGACTCCTTTATCTTGTTTTTTAAATTTTTTTTAAAACCACAGGCGCCCCTTTGTGCTTCGGTTTCAGATATATTGTCCAATAAACAGTTGTCTGGAGTGTAAAGGACACCCACTCAGGAGACCAGCTGCATGGTATTCTAAATATAAATTAAATGGACATATATATATATATATATATATATATATATATATATATATATATATATATATATATATATATATATATATATATATATATATATATATATATATGGACACTAGCTAGAAGTAATTTAGTTATTATATTTAGGGAATCGATGATAAGGATTTTTATTGTGTTATCATAGCCAATTATATTATTTATTTGAACCAACTCCTACTTTACATATATAAAAATATGCATAGAGAGAGCGGTACTTACTGTATTGGGTTTACTGGTCCACATAGACTTATATACTCTAATCGGTATATTGCTATCTTGGTACCTTACTGCAAACTGCTGTTTCATCCATCTCCTATTTGCAAAAAGGAAATTATCTGAAGCTGGCAGTGTTAAACTTTGTAATATTATGGGAGTATTCTCCTTCAAATACACTTGAAACTGTGCAGTGGAATGAAGCCATCAGAATCAATGGAATGAAAAAATATGGCATGCACATCATCCACAAACTATGACCATAAAAGGTTTCAACAGCAGAATTAGGAGAAAATTGTGGAAGGTCCAATTATAAAACAATATGAATTATTGGGCCAACTGGGGAGAGTCTGCCATTTTTCCAGCCTGCCCTTACTCTGTGAACAGTGTTGCAGTTTATAAAATTCACAGATTCTTTCAAAATTCATTCAGATGGCTTAATTATTGTAATGAATTTGAAAAAGCAGTTGACGGCATTGCTTACAGATGCAGAATATAGTGTAGATGTTCATATCCAGTCAGGGCCGGTGCAAAGAGCTTTGCCGCCCTAGGGAAAAGAAGAGATTGCCTCCCCCCCCCCTCCACCCCATCACAATGTCCCACCCATATGATCTGCCATATGAACCAACGTCAGTGCTGCACACAGTGTGCGTTTACATTAAAAAACCTGCAGGGACAGACTATAGAAACCAGAACCACTACATTAAGCTGAATTGGTTCTGGGGACTATAGTGTCCCTTTAATGTGAGGTAATTAGAGATCAGTGCCACGAATAATATACTAGATTGCCTACTTACAACCAGATGAGGATGATGATGGGCTTTGACTGCAGTCTGGCTCCACTGGTCTGGTGTAGAACAGGCTCTCTTGCGGCTGTTTGTAACTGTGGTCACAAAAGTCAATGTTCTGTGGGAACAGGATGCAGCTCCATTTTTTTGGGCCCCTTGCACAGCTCAAGGTCTGGGCCCCCACGGCCTGATGGTGAGTATGCCCATAAGGCCCACCCATAAGTCTACCTCTGATTTCGCTCACAAGGAGTGGAGTGTGTAGGGGATGTGTTACGCGTTAGTGTAGAGGATCTAAAGTGTGTGCTTATGGAATGTTGTGTATAGGGATAACAGTTTGTGTAGGGGATGCAGTGTGTGTGCAGTAGATGCAGTGTGTTTTTGTGTAAGGGATAGAAAGCATTGTGTGAATCTGTGTTTGTATGTGTAAGGGATGCAAGGTGTGTTTCTGTGTGTGTAAGGGATGCAGTGTGTGTGTCTGTAAGGGGTGCATTGAGTGTAAGGAGTTCATTGAGTGTGTGTAAGAGATGCATTGTGTTTGTGTGTGTGTGTGTGTGTGTGTAAGAAATGCATTGTGTGATTCTGTGTATGTGTGCAAGGGATGCATTGTCTTTGTGTGTAAGGGTTGCACTATGTGTGTGTGTGTAATGGATGCATCATATTCTCTCTGTGTGTGTAGGGATGCATTGTGTGTGTAGTGTGAAAGAGAGTTTGTGGGGTAAAATAGGGGCTGAGTCCTACCAGCCCCTTTGTGCTTCTCTTTCCCCTCTTCCTCAGCCTCTCTCCCCTCTTGTCCCTTACTGCTCTCCCCTGCTGTCCCTTAGAGCTCTCCCCTGCCCCACTGTCCCTTAGTGATCTCCCCTGTCCCTTAGTAATCTCCCTGCCCCCTTTCACGTAGTGCTCTCCCCTCCTGTCCCTTAGAGCTCTTCCCTCGTCTCCTAGTGCTCTCTCCCAGAGCTCTCCCCTGCCCCCTGTCTTTTAGAGCTCTCCCTTGCGTCCAATAGAACTCTCCTATGACCCCTTAGTGGTCTCTTCCCCCCCCCATATTGGTCTCTCCTCCACCCCACCTCAGTTAGTGGTCTTTCCTCCACCCATCCCCCTCAGTTAGTGGTCTCTCCTCACCCTCCACCCCTAGTGGTCTCCCCTCCCTAGTGGTCTCTCCTTACCACCCCCCTCCCTCCGTGATCTCTCCTCATCCCCCCTCCTCTCCCTCCGTGGTCTCTCCCCTCGTTCTCCTCACCCCCTCCCCCCACCTCTGTTATAGTGTGGCCGAGCTCCGGTCCAGTCCGCAGTACAGGAGCTTCTGTTTCCTGTACCCATCCGAACGGACACAAAATGCTCACTGAATGAGCACTTCCTGTCAGTCTGGCCGGGTACAGGAAGCGGATGTTTCTGTACCGCGGACCGGAGCTAGGCCATGCTACACTGAGGGACTGACAGGAGGGAGAGCTGTGCGCTTCCCTCCTGCCGATCCCTCTTTTCTTGCACACCCGAGCCAATGCGCCTAAGGGGCGCCCTAGGCGACTGCCTAATTTGCCTATAGGAAGTGCTGGCCCTGTATCCAGTACTCTTAAAGACTGGTTTAAAATCTACATCCTGCATGCATCTGTTACTAGCGGGTAGACGTGTGCTTGCCAGTTTCTTCAAAGCTAGCAGGGACAGCAACCTGAATACGGGAGTTAGGAATCATCCAGAATAAATTAGAATATGTAATCATTGTTCTGCAACACAGTAAATACATATTACCCCATTCTATGTTATTACTATGCGTCATCAGCCATCCCAATCCACCAGGCATTTATTCCATTTACCCAATGGTCTGGTTCAGAGAGGCTCTAGTGCCTTTCAAACGTCCCTACAAACAACACCCTGGCGCTTGACTTTAGAGGAAATAAAGACAAAAAAAGCATTAATTCCAAAACTGACGCACACTAGTAGCTAGCTTTGAGTTACCTAGAACAACTTTCACTTCTGTTCACTGTACTATACACTTTTTACATGGTCAATACAGTTAATTAAAATATTGTGCTTTAGTCATGAATTTAGACTCATTAGTACCATTTACCTCTATATACAAGACATAGTTTATGTATTTTCAATAGGCATCACCTTTTCTTTGGATGTCACCCATTGTTAGGGTAATGGACATTCATAGATATTCCATTATGCAGTCCGTCTTTTAAAAGGTCCCTCAACATTCTGTTATTTGTTTATATCCCAGGTTGTTGTCACACTGAGATGGTCTGTAGCTTCAATGATGTGCTACAAAGTTTGAGTCTGACCAATCTTCCGGGTCCTGATGTGAGACCGGTAAAAGACTGGAGAAACCCAACCGTGGTCTATATAGACTTTTACCTCTATACGGTCATCGACTTGGTGAGATTTTTTTTAAATGAGTGATTGCAATGTAAGTTCAGCTGTTTAGACTAACCTATCAGAAGTACGGAGCATCCTGAAACTTTGTTTCCTTATACGCCTCAAGTTCTGGAGTCAACGCATTACTTTTAGTTGTTATATTGGAGACAACCTACCTGCTTTTTTGGTGGTGGTTGAAAGGTTGAGTTGCATAATGTCATTTGTTAATAACCTTATTAATCTTAAATTTTTTAGGACACAAGTTTACAGATCTTAACTACACTTCTCTGGTTTAACATGGTAAGGAATTGAAATCTTTATGATTCTAGTGTGCTTTAACACATTGCTTGTTTACTTTCATGTGAATAAAATCAGGTTTACTTATTAAATTCCAGATTCTGAAAAATAATTTAGTACATCCAGGGGCAGACTGCAAAAACTCGATATTGCTCACAGACTTTATCAGTACTCTGAATTAGATTGTATATAGTCCAGAGATCAGCCAGTTCGGACGGAGCCGGTACTAAATGATGGAACCTATTCCTTTGATTTAACAAAATTGACCCATATCGACCTGCAAAGGCAGTTCAGCTGAATTTGAATAATTCAGTTGAGCCACATTTTACAGGCAGATAATGACCAATTCTAATATCAGCTTATTAGATGACTAACTCTATGAAAGATTGGTTTAACTACAAAGAGGGGTACATCATAGACCGATTAATAAAACATAAAAGCACATCTTCTAAACAAGCACACATAAATGAAATGAAAAGTAGTAACAGGTGAAATACACCAATAACCTCAGTTGCCTTTTTTTTTTAAATATAGTCTTCATGTGTCAGTGCTTATAATATATAAAGTATCACTGTGTATACCTCAGCCTAGTTCACTACTGTCCACTTAATGGGATACTATAGTCACCAAAACAATGTTAGCTTAATGAAACAGTTTAAGTGATCATGCCCCTGCAGGCTCATTGCCCAATTCTTCTAAATGGCAGAGAATTGAGCAGTAAGACTGGAGGGGCATGCTCTCTACACCCAAACTGCTTCATTAAGATAAAGTTGTTTTGGTGACAATAGTGTGCCTTCAAACATGTTACACCCCAGTGCTACAGATTCATCAAAATCTCCTCTTGTAACACGGTTTTCCCAATACTATTTTAATGTACCATGTTTAGGTGGAAGACCCTGATCTACATGTTGAACACATGGTGATATTTTATATATTATAAGTCCTGATATTTGAATACTGTGCAAATCTCATATTTTATTTAGGCTTCGCTGGTTATGATAAAATTCAAGCCATATTTGTCTTTAGCAAATATGCAAACGGCACATTCGGTTGCAATTTGGATATGCAGTAATAACCAAATTTAGCTGATGCTTTTCCCATTATTATCATTATACATGCACATGTTTGGACATAACTGACACAGCAAAGAGTGCACTCCTCTACATTATAGATGTAACAATGTTTACAAATTGCCGCAGATACAAGCCATTCTTATTACAGAAAAAAGAGGCTTTGTACATTATGCAACATAAGCTTTACAATGAAGTTTTGGCAATGTCAAGGTGCTTAGAGAGACCATTTAAACAATATCAATCCTCAGCAGTGTCACTAGGGTTGCGGTCACCCATAGGCGTGTGCCGGGTGTGCCTGGGCACACCCTAACCCCGCGGCCCGCACTATGTGCCTCCCTCCATGGGCAGGTGAGGGAGATCAAAGATCTCCCTCACCGACCCACAGGCAGGGAGGGAGGCAGGAGAGGACCCTGGGGGGCTCTTGCCAGCAGCTCCACCGGGTTCCTCTCGCGAGGTTGGAGCGTTGCCGCGGCAACGCTCAGATCTCACGAGAGTGAACTCTAGCCCTGCAGGCTAGAGTTCACTCTCCACTGGACCACCAGGGATGGCAGCAGCACAGTCCCCCCTCCCTACAAAAGGTAAGAGGGGAGGGGGATATTAACTAAACAGCCCCCACACACAGCGCACCTACTTGTGTGTGATAGAGATATATCATATCAGCAGCAGTGAAAACAACAGCACCTACTTTTGTCTTGATAAAGTCCACCAATCTATTAAACTGGGGCAGGAACAGAATGATCCATACACCAGGCAACTCTTACATGTCAAATACTGCCACAAACTGACCACCTTATTGTGTATTACATTCTGTGCTTGGCTGCAATGTGCAGGTCACTAGTAATTTTAACAACTACAAAAAAGTCTAAATAACAGATGTACCCGGTGTTTAGCTTGGTTGTCTGGTGTGGTGGGTAGATTACTGCTTCCTGCTTTTCCAAGAAATTAAGAAACCAGGTCACTGAATTTCTTGAATAAGGAATGAGAAATGGGTTACTTTATATACATGTATTAATAAGACCATGCAGTGCTGTGCCTGGGATACTGTCACATTCTCCAGGTTACACACAGTATGTATTGGCTCTGGTTAGGGTCCTGTGGCAATGTTTGCATCTGACCTTAACCTGGTACCCATGCTCTGGGTACCAGGACTCATAAGCTGTTGCAGTGAGATCTGCACCATGCATCGTACAGCCATAGTGCACACCTAATTTCCTAAACCAGCTGTGGGTCTTCCTGCTGGTGTCAGGTGGATGTGTTGCCTGGTTACTGTGGTTGCCATACTACACGGAGCCCAGGGTAACATGTTGCACTTTCTGGACTGCCAAGCCACCACCATCACCTCTGTTGCTCTCCATGCATGGAACACACCAGTGGTCCTACCAATGCCAAGGAAATGGGTGCAGCCAATCAGAAAACACAATGACAGACAGCTAGTGAATGAGACCTGTTGTCTATGTCAACACAGAATTCCAACCAATCCGTTCCAGCCTGTGAACTACAGGCAGTGCTGAGGGTTAGTCTGCACCAATACAAAGCTTCACTGATGAAGGTACAGACCAAAGGCCCACGCAGCGAGTGCACTTGGCATATGAGGGAGATCTTTGATCACGATCAGCGGTCCATGAAGAGGCACGCATGGGCCAGACAGTCGGTGTCATTCCGTAGTAACACCACTGTCAACCCTGGTCATCTGTGATCTAACTTACTCCTTTAGTTTGGGCACACTCAAAGTTGAACACAAACTGATGGAAAAAAACTAATCCTCTACATATTCACATTTACTACAAGTGACAAAATGGTGCAGTTTTATTTCAATGTATATATATTTATTCAAAATATCTGTAATGTAAATAGTTTTACATTTCATAGAGTAAATTAGAATCCAATCTAAATCAAAAAAAAATAATAATTTACAGTAGTCGGCTTTTTTGTTCAGTGACTCATACACGATGAACTAAAAAACAGGCACAATAGGAGACCAGATTTTTCTTGGGAACTGCTAAAAAAAAATGTTTGCAAACCGATAAAAATAATAATCTGACAGGTATTAATATTATCATTATTTAAGTTAGGATGGCAGAAATACTTACACATCAGAACAAGATTTTCAGTGGAAAACTGAGTAAATAAAAGCTAAGCCAAGATCCGTGAGTATACAAAACTGTAAAACCACAAAAAAAAAAAAAAATTTAAATTTTTTTTTTTATATATATTTACATACATACTACAGTTAAATCAGGTGACAAGCCCTAAGTATAGATTCCAAGAATTCTTTAACTCCTAACAATAGCCAAATGAAGAGAAACCAGAACATTTTGTAACCGAAGCACAAGCCTAGGGCAAAACTGAAAACCAATTCCTAGAAAGTAGGACATCTCTGCTGCCTGCTGGAATACCAAAAACCGTAAGTGAGCAGTCGAAATAAAAAGAGGAGTTTACATAGGAAAGACAGCAGCAATAGAGAAAGTGTGAGTGATTGATTGGCATGAATGTTCTCCGTCAAGCATCGTTTGAATGGCATTGTGTGAGAAGTCCACCAGGAACTTCACATGGGCTTGGTAAACAATTTGTCGCTTTCATTCAGATTTTATTAGGTGTTTTGCTATTCCAGGTCTGGACAGATGAGTTTATTTCTTGGAACCCTGGCAATTTCTGTGAAATTAATAGAGTGCGCATACTCGGCGAAATACTTTGGAAACCAGACCTCTACGTTTATGAAATGTAAGTTATGCAAATGTTATTCGTAGGAAAGTTCTGATTATGTGCATGCAACGACCCAAACCACACTTGAACATTCATTAAAAACGTCTTTCATTTGCAACTGAAGTAACCAGATACGTTAGCAGATCTAAGGTTTAGCGTTAGTGGGGTCCTGTTATTAGTTAACCTTTTCTAAAAGCCCACAATGTTTATTTTGACACTACAAATTCCCTTATGCTAAAATGACATATCAAGCACCATAACCACTACAACTTAGTGTAGTACATATGGTACTAGCAGTGCCCTGGAGTCTTCCCAAAGAAAGCATTCAAACCATTTAATAATAGTTTTACCTGGTTCCTGACGGGCACTGAATGCAACCTTCTCTGCTGCCAGAAGAGCTTCCAGTTAGTTCCACTAAGTTAAAGGACCACTATGGGCACCCAGACCACTTCAGCTTAATGGCCTGGGTGCCAGGTCCATCTAGGGTTAACCCTGCAGCTGTAAACATAGTTTCAGAGAAACTGCTATGTTTACATATGGGTTAATCTAGCCTTTAGTGGCTGTCTCATTGACAGCCACTAGAGGTGCTTCCGCGCTTCTCACTGTGAAAATCACAGTGAGAAGACGCTTACGTCAATAGGAAAGCATTAAGAATTAAACTGAATTGTGGGGTTTTTTTTTTTTTTTTTGCTAAATTGTTGACAAGATTTAAAAAGAAAATTAAGTTTCAAATGAAAGAAGGTTAAATGATGTTCAATGGTTTTTTCACTAGTGGATATGGTACAATGGGACTGGGTATACATTCTAAGGGCTCATTCAGAATCTTGTCACTTTGTTTTAGTACAGCCACTACCATTACTGCTTTTTGCTACTGTTAGTGAGTAGTGTCTGTTTACCATCTGCAAAATAATAAATGTAATGACCGAATTACCAGCTGCCACTACTGAAAGCCGGTCACTAAGCATTCGCATTCGCTTCATAGTTTCCGACTGGTTGATAACCTTGTCACTGCTCATTACTGCCTGCCACTAAACCCACGTCTAGCCTGGTGTAAAGCGATAAACATTAGTTATGTCTATACATCCTAATGAAGCAAAATATCTTGTTCCAATCATATCTCTACTCTTTACTGGCCAGACGCTGCTTGCCACACAGGTTATATTGCGCATGCTCTGGTGTGGATTTCAGTGCATTACCAACAAGTCACTAATATCCCCTTAAGGACACAGCTTCAGTAATAAACGGCAATCATAACGGAACATTTCCGTCATGTGTCCTTAGAGGGATATTAGAGTGGCTGCTTTCTGTAGTGGCAGTCATTATTAGTCAAAGCCTGTAACAATTTATCAACAAATAATGTAAATCTGGTGGCAACTTGTAGTCATTACAAGTTACTGGCTCTTGCTAACAGCAACAGCTTGGGTCTGCTATTTACCAAAAAGATTGTAAACAAGCCCTGTTATAAGCTGGGTTATATGAAAATACCATTATACATCTGGTTTAAGCACTTTTCATTTTAGGTCAGTATATCTGAAAATGTGATATTTTACCTATAATTACATAGGACAGACTATAATAAGGATTCTTCAATGAAACTCTATTACTCCATCACAAGCAATGGCTTAATCAGTTATTCAGCACCTTTGAGGATTGTTACTAGCTGTAACCTGCATATCTTCAAGTTTCCATTTGATACTCAAACGTGTACCTTAACCTTTGGTCCTTATATTCACTCAGGTATGTATGCACTCCCCATGTGGTGTAACTATTATCTTGGATTGAAAATATTGGTTATCTGCGAATTCAGAATATAAACGCTACAAGAGGGGACATCTCTATGCTTGTCAGTAATAAGCAGCTGTTAAGCATTGTAAACCCCTACAGTTGGTAGATGTTTGTGTCTACAAAATATTAACATCAATATATCCACTAAGCACAATACAACGATACCTATACAATACACAGAGCTAGGTAGACTACAGAGATATCCATACAACAGGTAGAGCTGAGTAAAATACAGAGAAATAACACACAGAGCTGGGCGCAAAAACATACCATAACTATCCCACACGGCCAGGATCACTGTGATGGATTACACAGAGCTGCAATACATAGTACATGTTTATGTATAATTATTTAGCTTTCACTGCTTCTGTCTATCTTTCTAGACCTCCCTTAGCTCCCTACTTACATGATCTCATCTTTAGTAGTGCTCCTGATATGATAATGTTAGCTTTCTATTAAAGGAACTCTATAGGCACCCAGACCACTTCTGCTCACTGAAGTGGTCTGAGTGCAGTGTCCCAGGTCCCTTAACCCTGCAAAGCCAATTATTGCATTTTTTTTTTATAAACTGCAATAATTAGCTTTGTGGGGTAACTCCGCTTTTAGTGACTGTGTACCAGACAGCCACAAGAGGGATTTCCGGGCTGTTAGGCGACTTTTGGAAATTCTAATGTGAGCATTGTCATTGCCACATGTATGCATTAGGTCTCCCCCGCTAGCTGACAATGACTGGGTAGAAGCGGACACAGGCCCAAGTCAACGCCAAGAGACATCGGTGCTGGGCCCAGGTAAGTGACAGATGGGTTTTTAACCCCTTCTGCACCATGAGGGGGGGGAGAGGGGAGGTAAGAGGGAGAGGTGGGCACTATAGGGAGCTATTGTGCCAGGAAAACAACTTTGTTTTCCTGGTACTATAGTGTCCCTTTAAGTATTGCTGCTGTTATGAAACATGTCAGCTACTCCATTAGCTCTCAGCACACAGTCTAGAACAGTGTGCACATGGTTAAAGCAACAAGATACTGATCGATGCAATCCATTTCATCTACTTCTGACTCATTGTTAGTTCTCAGCACACAGTGTGCACATGGTTAAAGCAGTGAAAACCTTAGACTCCAACCACTTCAGCTACTCCAGGCTCACTATTAGCTGTCAGCAAACAGTGTACTCAGGGTTAAAGCAGCATGATACTGACAGACTCCTTATTGCCTTTGCAGCTGACAATATAATTAATCTGCAGTGGTAATATGGAGCCAAGAAGTAGCTGAAATCAACAATAATTACAGATTAAAAATTAGAGTCACAGCCCCAGTCCTCCAGTTTGACAACTCACAACATTTCAACTAGACACAGTATTAGTGTCTCAGGTCTCAGCTGTGGAGTGACTGAGCACTTTAAATAGTTGTTAGAACTATTTGTCACCCATGAGCGCTTTTCGCGCTCGCTCTCTCTCTCTCTCTCTCTCTCTCTCTCTCTCTCTCTCTCTCTCTCTCTCTCTCTCTCTCTCTCTCTCTCTCTCTCTCTCTCTCTCTCTCTCTCTATATATATATATATATATATATATATATATATATATATATATATATATATATATATATATTTGAGTAAACTCCCTTGCTTAATCAACCCTGAGGCATTCACTAGGGCTTTTGCAGGATAGAAAAAGATATTATACACTTACATTTGGCAGGGGCCAGGAGCTGCTGTGGCTGTGCTCTCGCTCTCTGTTACTTCCAAGATGGCTTCTTGCTTCTCTCTTTTGTGGACACTGTCAAAGCACCCCCAATGCGATCATCAATTGATGGCTCCTGAATAGAGAGGAAAATAGTGTGCCTCCAATCATGGGCAGCTGGTTGTGGTGCCCAAATGGCAACTCTAGGAACATTTCAAAAATTCCATCTTAAAGGGCACTACACATGTGCAAAACTTGCTGAAACAGGGCAGATTTCAAACCAGCACCATTTTTGTCATGCTTAGAACTCTCAAGTAAGCTTCTCCAAACAGCTACCTATGAGGAGGCAGGGGCCCTGCAGAATGGAAACCTATTACAGAATTAAACAGATACTAATGTTTTTCCATAGTTTTTTGACTTCCCACATTTCCAGAAAAAGAATCATAGTGTTTCTAACTACTGAAAATATATATATTTTTCCCACATAAAATCAGGTGCGATGCTGACAAGCCTCCACTGGGTGCTTCCTATGTCAGTGTTGCACTGTGTGCAGCACCTACGATCAGCATCTGGGTATGCACTGAACAATCCCCACAGTGATACATTGATTCAATGCATCTCCATGAGGAGATGCTGCTTGGCACAGGGTGTCATTTTGCCACACATGCGCAATAGCCTCCCAATGCTTTCCTATGGCAGAACATTGGATTTGATGAGATCATCAAGACTGGTGATCTCAGCCATGAAGGCAAATCCAGAGCGGCGATAGGGAAAAGGTAAATTAACTTTTAACTCAACGTAGAGGGTGGCCAGTCATCTAAATATTTACTCCAGCACTATATACACATGTTTTTTTTTCCTAACACTATAGTGTTCCCTTAAAGAGACACATCAGGCATCCAGACCACTTCTGCCCATTGGAGTGGTCTGGGTGCCAACTCCGACTACCCTTAACCTTGCAACTGTAAATATTGCAGTTCTAATAAACTGCAATAATTACCTTGCAGGGTTAACTCCTCCTCTAGTGGCTGTCTGCTAGACAGCCACTAGAGGGCACTTACGGGTTTATAGCACAGATTTTCTGTGCTATAGCGTCGCTGGACGTCCTCACGCTATGTAAGGACCTCCAGCATCGCTGAAATCCCCTTAGGTAAGCATTGAAAGCATTTTCAATGCTTTCCTATGGGGAGGTCTAATGCGCATGCGCGCCATTGCCGTGCATGCACATTAGGACTACCCCGTCGCCGGCCGTGCATGCGCTATAGGTTATCCGGCAGGGGAGGAGTGTGGGCGGACCCTGAACCAGCACAGAGGGACATCAGCACTGGATACAGGTAAGTCACTGAAGGAGTTTTAACCCCTTCAGCAACCTGGGATGGGGGAAGGGAGGGAGAGGGGTCCTGCAGTGCCAGGAAAACTGGAGAGTCCCTTTAACACACAAAAATGCATTCATTGGCTAAGATCGGTCAGCTGATGCTCTCAGCCAATGGTCGGCCAGATGTTGTCACTGGCCACCGGGTAACCAGATAATCATTGCAAAATGGAAAACAGGGCCAGGGTACTCTTGGCATCATAACATCATGATTCTTGGCTGTAACCCTTGAACCTTCAGACAAATGTTATGGTATCTGATGGTTTCTGATAATAAATACAAGCAAAAAAAAAGAAAAAACAGAAACTAAATCAAATTACCTTCTGTTGTAGAATGCAATGCCTCCTGATAAACATTAAGCAACAAAACATAAAAAAACAATACGGACAAAGTAGTGAAATAGTAGAAGAGATAGAATCCGGTAGATTGGGAGATGGAAAGATGAAGGCTACGGTGTGCAAAAATTTAAAGGGGTAGCGCAGGTAGAATTTGAAGTCCAAGGATCCTAAATTTTACCAAAATACTCCACTCAACTGGGTTGTTTTTTTAAAGGAATATAGACATTTTATTAGGAACACGATCATATTTATGTTTTCCTTATCACACTTATGAACGCTTCATGCTGTTGGAAGGTACATGAAACATGTATCTCTGCAAATAGGATATCAACTACTACTACTTTAACAATACAGTGTTGGGAGCCCTTCTTAATGAATGATTTGATTGATATAGGTCAAGGATGACAAATTTAAACAGAACGCTAACGCGCACCGTAATTGAAACAACACCCTCCTGATCTTACACAATCTGGAATTGTCATATAGGTCTCCACAATCATATACAGACTGGACTGGACACTCAGTTAGTATTAAAAAAAGGCAATTGGGGGTGCGTGGCAGATTGAGCAGTGAGAAAGATGGGTTTGAGCAAGGCTCTGACAAAGCCAACGATTAATAGCAGACAGTTGCAACTTAAATATCTCTTACAAGCTCCACACATCAGTACCCCCACCCAACTGACATTAAAAAATCTGCATCCCGGAGACCCCAAAAATGCCTGACATTAGACTTTCCTTTTACAGGCCTATCCCGCGGGTCGCTCCCAAGATGGCGCCTGCGGAGCCGAGTGAGGAAGAGGCCTCAGAAACATTTAGGGAGGATGAGCGAACTCCAGAGACTCCTGAAGCGACTCAGACTCAGAAGAATATTCTGCACCAGCAACCAAAAGGGACATCAGAAACCTCCTGCTGGAGATGAGACAGGTGTGGAAAACAGACCTGCTAAAAACGCAGACTGAGCTGGGGACCCTGAGCCAACGACTTACAGAAGTGGAGGCCAGAGACGGAGCCAGGGAACAACGGCTGCAGACCATGCAAGAAGAGATAGAGGTCCTCGTCCAACAGGTCCAGAAGCTTACCAGGTTGACAATGGTGCTGGAATCGCGGCACAGACGGAAGAACATCTGCCTCAGAGGAGTGTCGGAACGAGTCTCGGGAGATGCTCTACTGCCCTTCCTCCAGCGCCTACTGACCCAGATGGGAGCCAAGAGAGGTGCAGACCCCGAGATCATAACATCCACATTCAGGATCCGCAAGGCGGCATCAGCACCAGCAGAAGCACCGAGAGACATTATTACTGTAACAAAAACCATTGCGGCCAGGTTCGCCATTATGTCTCGCTCGAGAGAATTTGACAATATCCGCTTTGAGGGAAGTACAGTGGCAATATAAGGGGACCTCCCATTTGCTGTGCTGACAGCAAAGCGGCAACTGGCACCATTCGCAAGACGGCTACGAAAGGCAGAAATAAAGTATAGGTGGGGGTAGACGGATCACTAGTGGTGAGACACTCACCTTGCCCTTCACTGGGGATCAGGCAGGCTTTCTCTAATGCCTACATGTGCCAGATACAGATCCAAAACAGGCCCATAAGGCCAAGACCTACACAAAGGGCTGACTCAGACTACTCCTTGAGCATGTAGTGTAGTAAAGCAGGCTACCCCAAGCCCATTCCCATCCATAACACCGCAGGAAATCCCGGCACTCGTTTAGTGACACATTGCTTGCCATAGCTGAGAAGTAGGAAGCAATCAACTGCCTAAATGTCAAAAGTTGTGTTTTACCCTTTTACCCTTTTCCTTCTCTTGTGTTTGAAAATCGATTATATTCCTCAGCTTCAGCTCCTGCCTTGCTTACCATATAACACTACCTAGGAGACAGATTTAACCAAGTTTAGGAGCAGAACATACTAGATTATGTCACCTGACACCAATAATAAGACATACCTTCCTCCTGTAATGACAGTTGTTGTAAAGCATGTCTTGCCTCTGCTATGATTTCGCTGACTTACTATCTTTACCATTGTTTAATTCTCATACTACGATACAGTCGTATTTTGTGTGCGCAAAATCAAATAGTATACAAATAAAAAAAATTAAAAATAAAGAAAGGCAATAGACTGAGGATCCTTCATTAAGGCTCCTTAGTGAGTCGATACATTGCTTATGTGACATGAAATTGCTGTTCTTTCATTGCTGCCACAGTGCCTGGTCCTGTCTATACTATTGTGAAGAAAAATATGGCTGTTCTAGATTGTGGAGCAAATTGTCTGAAGCAGTGACTTAGGGGACACCTCCATTTATTTTACATTTATATCCAAGGGATCCTAACAGATAGCCAATAATAATACATTTTTTTCTCTAGCATGGGGAGGGATATTTAAAGTAAGGGGGGGAAAAAAAGAAAAAAAAAACAAGTTGGAAAAAGACAAAAAAAATTATTTCTGAGCATCGCTGATATTATCATCTCCTTCAGTTGAGGAAATAATCATGTTGCCGAAAACCAATTCCAGCCAGATAAGCCAAAATGCTAAGGAAATTTTTGTCAGCAAAGGAGACTGGACGTTGCAAAATATTACTGTTGAAAACCAGATTCTTCTGTCTGATGGAGTGAATTACAGCCAAGTAATCTATCAGGTAAAACGGGTGTTCCTAGATATAAATAAATTCTAATATATGAAACATCACTACACATTTTAGGACAATGCATATCAGCTGTGTACGTGTGAATGATCGTGTCTGCTGTGAAAGTGATCTCATACCAATCTGCAACAATGGACGCAAAAGCACATATTAGACAGACTAGTAATCTATGCCACCATTAATTTAGTGTGCCAGTGAAGTTCATACTTCTATCATGTATCTTGTTTTTGCATTTGACCCAAGTCAATGCCCATTTTAAAGGGTTACCTCAACCACCATGACTATTTTAAAGTATGTATGCAATTGAAACACTGCACATACTCAGTAATCTGCACTTCTGTGCCAGGGGCTGGTTGCACACTCAGCACACATGATTTAGGCAGCCCAGAATTCTATTCCAGGCTGGCTTAAGTCAATTCTGTGTATGTTTTACTTTTGTTGTCAACGCGCTGGGGACATTTTCAATAATCTTCTCCCTTGCCTGCAGGGCATCTGCAATAGCCTCCATCCCCTCCTCTCACTGTGCCCTCCCTCCCGTTAAACAATTTGCCCTATTACTAGGCAACCAGACCAGAGTACATCTGGCATTATAACTACTTTAACCACTTACCTTGAACCCCAAGACTGACACACTTAGTTTAGCAGAAATGCAAATGCATAATTCTTGATAAAATTGCTTGAGATTATTATTACTATCATCATTTTCATCATAATCTTTGAAACGCAGTACCATGTACCATGTAAAATACACCACGCACCCCCACCCCTTTGTAGCACACTGTTAAGAGAGGGAGGATAGGGTGTTTTAGTGCCTGCGTGTTTGTATCTGTGAATGTATGTATACGTTTGTGTGAATGTGTGTATTTTTAGGTGTTTCTGTGTTTCATACCGGAACATCTGTGAATGTGTTTGCATATTTTAGTACCTATACTCCATGTTTTATATATACGTTACATATTTCTGCTAATATCACATTCCTATTTCTTTTTAATATACATACATAGATATATCATTTACATGTTTTTTTTCATTTTACCTTTTTCTAGATTACCATTAAAAGAGCTCCAATCGTTTATATTATTAATCTCATCATCCCGTCATGCTTTTTGGTTTTTCTGGACATTGCCAGTATGTTTATACCAATAGCAAGTGGTGAAAGACTCAGCTTTAAAATAACTGTTGTTTTGGGGTTCTCTGTGGTTTTACTGATTCTGAATGATATGATCCCCAACTCTGATGATATCCCTTTTTTAGGTATGTATTCAGTCTACTTTTAAACCTTTACTGATAGCTCATTCTGTGTTTGACAGTGAGATAGAATAGTTATGTATTTTTAATTATTTCTGTTATTCTTTATAAAATTACAGGATATTAATCAGTGTTGTGCATTCCGAGCTGACTAAAGAAAGTTGCCAGAGGTGGCGTTACATAGAATATATCAGAATGTGTAGTGTTTCTTAATAAAATACTGCACATACAAGATCCTTGCACCATGACCTCTTAAAAACACAGTTATCACACGTGATCACGGTGCTTGGAGTCAGTATTTAACTATGGAAATAATAATAATCCCCAACACACAAACAGTGAGGACAGTGGAAGCCTATATATAGGAAGGACATAGTACCAGACCTTAGAGTGGCCTGGGCTTAATGTTTAAGAAAAATATGCGATATAGAATAATCTAATCCAGGCCTAGTTCAGGATGGAAGAAAGATTAATAATAAGTAAAACAGAGCAAAGGGTCATGAATACCAGAATATCGTAAAAAATTATTGTACAAGCCAAGTCTAATATAAGGAATCAAGGAACGTACTCTAACAATCACCAGAGGACAATTAAGAGGGGTCACAAGGGCTACTTATAGATCCCAGTGGCCTCTGATTGACTTCTTTCACGTGTGACGGCAACAAAAAAACGCGACCTTCGTTGTGTGGGCATAGTGTATTGGCAAACCATCAACGTAAGATACGGGCCATGATGGGCATAAACTAAGGAACTGGAAAGCATGGAAAGCACTGGAACGGGAAAGTGCTCTTAGGAGCTTTAGTGGACACCTGAAACAATAAGGAGATATGACAGGTTCCTGTAAAAAAAATAATCAGAGGTGAAGGTATTCATTCTTATTGCTGCTCTAGAAATACCTTCTCCAGAAGAGTGTAGAGTTACTTACCTGGCCGTCGATCCGGTATTCTCGAGTATGGGATAGTCACGTGGCCCAAAAGCCAGACATGCAACTGCTGCTCGCATTCAGAGTGCGTTCTTAAAGGCTCCCAGGGGGCACCAGTTTTATGTGGTTCATGGTGATCCGGTGTTCCCATTCAAGCATGTTCAGCAGTCACAGGTGTGACGTGAACCAAATCACACCTAACACTATATAAAGTTCTTTGGCCCAATTTACTGTGCCCTATCGTATCCTAGTGTCTGTCAAGTGCATTCCTTGTTCTTATCTAATTTTTCAGGTTATGACCTTGGCTAGTTCTTGACTCTGAGTATTTCTATAACCCTTATATGGCTAGTCTATCTGCTATTCTATTTTCTGGACTCCAGATAGTTTATTAATGATTCTGTTTCTCCGTTATCCTGACCGTGTTTGTATTTGATTTCTCTCCTTTGTATGTTGAGCTTAGCCACTCTAAGGTCCGGTAATACATCTGTTCTATCTAGTCAACTATTGTTCTCCTTGACTCTGCGTCCATAATCATGCTTTGTCAGTTTCTACAGCTATGGTTAAAGGACTCACGAAACTTAATTTTCTGCATCCCCAGGCCAATGTACAACACGAAGCTATTTGACCATTGGGGATTTTTGAAAAATATGCAAGGATCCCTGAAAGTGACAAAGTGCTTTAAGTGATTAACTGTACAGAGACTGGTGTACTCTTCTATATTAACAAACATCCTGCTAAAGGAACACACCAAGCGCAAGCACCATAACCACTAGAGCACTCAACATAAACACTACTAAACATAGTCCCCTAACCATGCTCCCACCTGTGGGCATCGGTATTTAGACACTGGAAATAAAAATAATTGGCTAGCGGGAGGAGGCCTTAACAATAATATTGAAGGAGGGAGTACCTAGTGTCCTAATTATAATATTCTCGAGAGAAGTGAGACTTGGCTACCAGAGTGCTCTGATTGGTTAGCTTAGTAGCCAACCAATCAGAGCACTCTTACTGATATGACATAGTGTGGGCAATTTCCCCTGTAATCTAATAGCTGACAGCGTTTGTGACAGCGAGTGGGAAAGCGTTTGTAAGGCTATGAGAGCTCAGTCTATGGAAAGCCCTTGTGGGGTGAATATAGATTAAGTTAATTGTGTTACAAATTTATTTCTTCAATTGCGAATCAGGTTGCTGTTTTTTTTTATTCTTAGTTGCATTGAGATTAATGGATTTTTATTTGGCCCGTTTTGGGCTGAAGAAAAGTAGAATTAGAAGAAAAGTAACTTTTGATGGTAGGTATAATTATTTTTAACAGGAATTAGTTTCATTGTCTCACTCCTACTAACTATTATTAGGGTGAGTGGGGTAGCTAGGGTCCTTTATTTTTTAATGGCTGCTAGGGAAAAAGATGGCCCAAGCCATCCGGGGGAGGAGGTATGACAGAATGGCAGATGGACATGCCAATGTTTGGGGTGGACAATAGCATGTCCATCCCCCCTTCCCCCATTGTTTAATTAGAGATCCATGGGCAGAGACATTAGGTATACCCCTTTTAATAATATAATTACATGATTTTGCTATTTCATGAAGAAAAGTCATGATTTTATGAAAGACACGGAGGCGAGTATTGCATATCCCTTTCTTTACTGTCCACCAATAGCAGCAAAGGATACAAACAGTAAGAAAAAACAGTAACCATAGAGATAGGACACTCCCATATCAAGTCCCAGTATAATAGGCAGTACCTTCCCACCCAATTCCTCTTTCTTTGAAGATGCTACCCGCCAACAGCAAACAGGAAACCAGGAACAGTCCAGAACTAGAAGGGCAACGGCCCAAAGTCCATCTGGATACTTGACCAGAAGATGCCCAATAACAGGGACAAAACCAGGAACGAATGATGAAACGTTAACCATAGGGAGTCCATCTCAGCGGTAACCACCGAACACCAGCTAACTTGGAGAAGTCCTGTGTAGAGAGATGCACTTCATGCGATGCATCCAGAAGTGAGTCAACCTGTGAAAACATAATAACAGGAGCCCAAAGGTTAAATCGGTACTAACACCAATTGTACATGCCAAGATACGATACATTGGAAATCCAGTCACCCCTTAGTGTCCCCCTATTCTTTCTTAAGTCAAGAATCCCCAGGTATGTGTAGTGTCATGATTCAGATGTACATATAAATCATACGTGATGGAGCGCAATTCTATACTTACCGCCCTAAAGCGAGACATAACAGGGGGGGAAAAGGTTATACAAATAAGTAAAAAGGGAGGGGCAATACTCGCCTTCGTGTCTTTCATAAAATCATGACTTTTCGTCATGAAATAGCAAAATCATGTAATTTTATGTCAAGACACGGAGGCTCATATTGCAAGTTTAACCCTTTAAGGACCAAACTTCTGGAATAAAAGGGAATCATGACATGTCACACATGTCATGTGTCCTTAAGGGGTTAAAGCTGAGGTCGAAAGTAGAATTCCTTGAAGGTGGATTCTCTGGACCAGTCCGCCATTCTCATAAGGTCTTCCAGGCGTGCCCCTGAAGAGGCCATAGAAGTGGCTGAAGCCCCACGTGTGGAGTGGGCGCTAAAAATGGATGTGTCTACACCTGCCTGCGACATAACCCACTTCACCCAACGAGCCAGAGTCATGCTGGATACTGGGGCGAAGGGTTGACGGATTGAGAGGAAAAGTTGAGGAGTTGAAGCCGATCGATGGGCCTTCGTCCGAAGTTCGTATTCTCTCAAACAGGTCACTGGGCACAACTTAGGGGTAGTTGGGAAACTCGGGTACGAGACTGAACGTATGGCCGTCTTAGTCCTTCTGGAGATATTAAATGTCACCCCGTCTGGGGTGAAGGATCTCGCATCATGGTCCAGGGCACGTACCTCTGAGACTCGTTTGCACGAAATGAGGCAGAACAGTGATACCAACTTGGCAGAGAGTTGTTGCAGGTTGAGGTCTGAGTTGGCCGGCCAGGAGGAAAACAGTGATAGGACGCAGGATACGTCCCATGTGGCTGTGTATCGAGGTCTGGGGGGACGCGAGGGGCGTGAACCCTTGAGTAAACGGCACATCAAGGGATGTTGGCCTGCTGGGCAGCCGTTGAAACCCTGATGAGCTGAGGAGATGGCCGATCTGTATAGGTTAATCGTGCGATATGCTCGGCCCGCTTCAAATAATGATGTGAGGAACTGGAGTATCGCCATCACAGGAGCCGCCACGCGATCCAGGTCCCTAGCCAGGCACCAACCAGTCCAAGCTCTCCAAGCGGTCCCGTATGAGCGTCTAGTGCCGGGAGCCCATGCGTCAGCCAGGAGGCGTCGAGTTGTGTCCGAAACTCCTTGGACTTCCCAAGGACCCCTGAAATCCTCCATGCGAGTAGCCGTAACAATCCATCCAGTAGGAGGGAATGTTGTTGGCCCAACGGGTTCAGCAGAAGGTCCTGGTTGGACGGCAGGAGTGTGGTCACGTCTATTGCCAGTTCCAGGAGTTGTGGGAACCACGACTGGGTACCCCAGAATGGGGTTAGTAGGACCAAATGCGCCATCTGGTGGCGTACTTGGAGTAGCACTCGGGGAAGCATGGCAAATGGAGGGAAAGCGTAAAGGTGTGAGCTGGACCATTCCTGTAGGAAGGCATCCACTGCTTCCGCGGCCGGGTCTGGACGCCAGCTGTAGAACCGGGGTAGTTGGGCGTTGAGCCTGGAAGCGAAGAGGTCGATGGTGAAGGGCCCCCAGAGGGACGAGATAGTGGAGAACACCTCTGTATCCAATTTCCAATCGCTGCTGTCTGACAGATAGCGTGAGCTCCAATCTGCATGAGTATTGTGAAGGCCGGGGAGGTATTCCGCCTGGACCATCAAGTTCCTGGCTAAGCAATAGTTCCAGAAATCTTTTGCTAAACGGGCCAGTATCGCTGAGCGTGTGCCGCCCAGGTGGTTGACATAGATGAAATGTTGTCCATACGTAGCCTGATGCATGCACTGGCCGTGCCGTTCGCAAAACTCCGGATCGCAAAGGAACCAGCTAGTAGTTCCAGGGCATTGATGTGGAGTCGGGACTCGGCTTCTGTCCAGCGACCGTTGCAGTGTGCGCCCCAGCCGTGGAGACTTGCATCCGAGTCCACCGTCAACTCCGGTTGAGAGCCGAAGATGGCCTTGCCATTCCAGGCGGATAGGTTGTGGATCCACCAGGTCAGTTCGTCTCGGGATTCCAAGTCCAGGGAGACCAAATCTGCATACGAGGCCCCTTTGCGAAGGTGTGCTATCTTCAGACGCTGGAGGGCCCGATAATAGAGCGGAGCTAGGAACGCTGCCTTGATGGAGGAGGCCAGTAGTCCAATGAGTCGTGCCAGGTGTCGTAACGACAGCTGGTGGCGCGTCAGGGCTCGTCGCAGTTCCTTGCGGATTGAGCGTATTTTGGCTGGAGGGAGACTGAGAGACTCCGCTTCTGAGTCTACCGTGAACCCTAGGAACTCCATGTGTCAGGAAGGGGATAGGCAGGATTTTTCCTCGTTGAGCAGGAAACCCAGCCGACACAGTAGATCCATTGTCCATTGAAGGTGTTCTAGGAGGACCCCCCGATCTTGTGCCATGAGGAGGATATCGGTATGGAAGTATAACTAAACCTAAGAATTATAATTTGGGTTATTGTTGGGAACTTGGGAACACTGATGCTGCAGGAACTAAGCAGAGATGCCTATGTGAAAGCGTGAAATACAGATGCACGAAAGGGTTGTTGTTGTTAGACTGCACTGGCTTATGACAGGCCAGGTGTGGCTATCAACGAATGGAGATGCAAGTCTTATTGCGAGTCTCACTACAAGTCCTGGCTGCCTGGCATGTGTCGTTGCCAGTTAACTGCTGTTCTGGTGCATCAGTTGCAGGCTATCCCCTCTAGATCCCCTCTTCTTCCTGGGTTTTCCCTTCATCAGGGTCTCTGTGGGCAGTGTGATTATCATGCCCAGGCTGTGTAGAAACGCTGTCCGGTCTCCAGTGGATGACAACACAAGTATTTCTTCCCTGTGGGGGACTATTAGAGTACCCATTGTTCCCCATCTGTACTTGACAGAGTGGTCTCTCAGCCTTCTGGCGATGGGGGCCAGCTGCCTCCTCTCCATCAGGTAATGGCAGATATCTGTAAATACCTTGCTATCCCCAGAGTCCTGGAGCGATTCAGAATTGCAGTTCTCACTGCTTCATCTCTTGTGACTGTGATGGTGTCTCTAGGGGCTTCAGCTGGCGCTGTGGCAGATTTGCGTATTCGGAACACCGATGTTATCTGCGCGGGATCATTGCACCCCTTTATTCCCATGGAGGTGATCAGTCTCTGTGTTACCTCGGAGACGGATGTTATGACATCTGTGGCTGGCTTCTAGGTGAGCCGTGTGATCTGGCTCTGTGCTGCCTGTAGCTTGCCGTCTCTGGTTATCTCCCTCGCCTCCACCGCTGTGATCTTTTGGTCAATCACTCTGATTTCACCCTGGGCCTCTCATAGGTCAGCTTTTCAGACCTCTCTCAGGACGGTCAGAAGCCTCCTGATGTCTCCTTTGGTGGACGGAGTGGAATTTTCATCCGAATCAGGGGACTGATATCCTCCACTGGCCCGAGGAAAGGTAAGTGAGCCTTCCTCCTCGTGGGAGTCCTCCGAGGCCTCTGGGTCAATTTGGACCTCAGGCGCCATCTTAGGCGGCGCTGGTGGCGTGGGCCTCTCGAAGGAGAGTCTAATGTCTGGTAAATGAAAGTTTTCCGGGCAGTTCTGCTTTCTATTCTTGAGCCCCATTGTGTCATCTGTTGGAGACTGTGAATGGTTTAGGGTCAATATTTTAGCCGCTGAAGTCAGTTTATTGTGGGGTCGCATTGTAGTTTTTTTAAATTTCACCCACCCAATGCCCACTGTGGGGGACTATGTCCCCCCTCAGGTATTTCACTGGCCCCATCCCCCTGGGATAGGGACTTTGCTGCAAGAGGGTATATATATATATTTTAATTGTGTTAACTTTTTAATGTGGTGGCTAGTTAGCAAGTGATTGCCAGCTGCCACATAATTAGCCCTTATGCAGAAGAGGGCTTTTAACTGCTAGCACGGAAATAGTTCAGATGTTTTCTAAATCCAGGTCCGCATTTAATACCCATTGTACAGCGCTACGGAATCTGATGGCGCTATCTAAATAATAAAATAATAATTCATTCAGTATGGATTTAAGTATTGAATCCTTCTGAAATCCAGACCAAATTTAGGTCTGTTCAAGAACCGCACATTGTTGAATAACGTGATCAGTGTCCAGATTTTGCAGTCTGAATGGCACTGTATGCAGCAAGATGGTTTCGGACTTTAGTGAATAACTACCGTTTTTGTTGGCTTTGTAGTATGTAAATAAATGGATCTTCCCTTTCTCTGAAGTCAGAATGACTTCCCAAAGCTGCTGAAATAAATCATTCTGGCTGTTTCTCTCCATGTTGCTCTTACATAGAGCCTGACCCTCCTCCCTACTTCCCCTTGCAGGCATTGCTTTTCCTTAGGCTGAATTCAAGCAAGAGAGATGGAAATATACATGAAATTTCTGTCCCTATCATTTAAGATTAAGTCTTATTTGTCATAGCAAGTACTGTTTAAGAAACACTCCATGCGCCCTGACCAGGGCCGGATTAAGAGCACAGTGGGCCTGGTGCTGACAATTATGATGGGCCTAATTACGGAATCTTATCGACCAAAAACACTAAAACAATCATACCTCCCAAGCGTCATGTATCTGATGGAGATGGTGCTGGAGGGAAACTCATAGGATGCAGCTATAAGAAAACACATACTCTAGGCTAATCTCTCACTAATTTATGCTTTCATCTTTCAAGTAAATCCATAACCCCTAACAGCAATGTCCAGTAAAGCAGGAACTCAATGGGCTGGGTAAAAGGGTGTGCCACTGGCGCGAATCACGTGACAAGACCTGCCAAAAGGGGTGAATATGCCCAAAAAAGGGGCATGTTTGTCCAAAGAATTGGAAGGTCAGCCTGGCATGAATGCATGTCAGGCTGCCTGCCAATCCTGCAGGCTGTCCAACTAAGGGCATACTATGCAGGCTGCACCTTGAGCTTGACATAAATGCTTCTAATGATGCGCTCACTCTATTCTTTCTAAGGACTGTCCCCTAGCACTCGCTGGTCCACTTGTCTCCTTACCTTCTTACTAGCAGGCATAAGTTCCTGGTATAGTCTGCGACAGAGAAAAGGTGTCTGTAGTGAGTGTAGGAAGGGTACATGCCACAGTGTTAGAGAGACCAACATCTGCATTACCTAAACTAACTTTAATGTCAGCCAGTGCACACAAGTTTTGTTCCCATATATCCCTCCTAAGCTTCAAAACTTAAAGGGACACTATAGTCACCAGAACAACTACAGCTTATTGAATTTGTTCTGGTAAGTAGAATCATTCCATTCAGGCTTTTTGCAGTAAACACTGTCTTTTCAGAGAAAATAACTCCACTGGCCACTCCTTAGATGGCTGCTAGAGGTGCTTCCTGGGGCAGTACTGCCTAGTGTGCAGCACTGCCATTCAGTGTCTCCACCCTCAGACACTGAATGCAGACACTGAACTTTCCTCATAGAGATGCATTGATTCAATTTATCTTTATGAGGAGATGCTGAGGGACTGACTCTGCCCCTGATTGGTTGACAGTCTCAGCCAATCCTATGGGGAAGTATTGTAATTTGCTCAGACCACCACTTCTGAGCCAGCAGCTGCAGAATTGAATACAAGTAATATTTTACTATATTTAGGGAGGCAAGAAGGGGCTAGGGTGGTGGTTTTAACATAATAGGGTAAGAAATACATGATTGTGTTCCTGACACTATAGTGCTCCTTTAAGCAAGAGTATGTGAAGAGTAGTTAAGGTTGCCACCTTTCTTGGAAAAAAATACCAGCCTTAATCACTTGTATAATTAATTAGTTATGCGTGACATCACATGATGTAAATCACAAGGAGTGACATCAGAGAAAATTCTGTAAAATCACCAACAAACTACTCACAGTTTGATTCTGCTGTATAGATGGATTGCTCCCAGTGTCTCCCTGTCTCCCAGTGTCTCAGTCTTGCAAGTCACCCAGTGTCTCAGTGTCCCTATGTATCACAGTGTCAGTGTCCCCATGTCGCCCAGTCCCCTAGTCTCCCAGTGTCTGTGTCCCCATTTCTCCCAGTGTCCCAGTGTCTCAGTGTGTCACTAGGATACTGGGGACACTGATAGACATGGGGACACTGAGAGACCCGGGGACACAGAGACATGGGGACACTGGGAGACATGGGGACACTGAGATATTTAGGGAAACTGGGAGAAATGGGGACACTGAGACACTAGGGACACAGACACTGGGAGACATGGGGACACTGAAACATTTGGGGACACTAAGACACTAGGGACACAGACATGGCAACACATACACTGGGAGACTAGGGGTCACTGGGAGACTAGGGGACACTGGCTGGGAGACAGACACTTGGGGACACTGGGAGACATGGGGACAGTTGTGGACATAGACATGTGGACACTGGGACATATAGGGACACTGGGATACATGGGGACACCAGGCACACTGAGACACTAGGAACACAGACAATGGGAGACATGGAGACACTATAACATTTGGGGACACTAAGACACTAGGGACACAGACACTGGGAGACTAGGGGATACTGGGAGACTAGGAGACACTGACTGGGAGACAGACACTTGGGGAGACATGGGGACAGTTGTGGACATAGACATGGGGACACTGGGACACATGGGGACACTAGGCACATAGAGACATGGGACACAAACACTAGGAGACTTAGGGACACTGAGACACTAGGGACTGTGGCTGGGGGACATAGTGTCTCCGTGTCCCAATGTCTCCCAATGTCCCTATGTCTCACAGCATCCCCATGTGTCTCAGCATCCCCATGTGTCCCAGTGTCCCCTAGTGTCTCAGTGTCTCCATGTTTTCCAGTGTCCCCAAGTCTCCCAGTGTGTGTCCCCATGTGTCCTAGTGTCTCAGTGTCCCCTAGTGTCTGTGTCCCCATATGTCCCCAAGTGTCTCAGTGTCCCCTAGTGTCTCAGTGTCCCCATATTTTCCAGTGTCCCCAAATGTCTCAGTGTTCCCAGGTCTCCCAGTGTCTGTGTCCTAGTGTCTCAGTGTCCCATAGTGTATGTGTCATCATGTGTCCCCTAGTGTCTGTGTCCCCTAGTATCTCAGTGTCCCCATGTGTGTCCTAGTGTCTCAGTGTCCCCATGTGTCCCTGCTGCCTTTCCCCCCATTCCTCATTTACCTGAGCTGTAGAGCTGCTGTCTGGACTCTCTGTGCTGTGTAGCTGCTCCCCCACGGATCAGTGAGTAGTAGAGAGAGGCAGGGAGGGATATGCTGTAACTTCCTATCCCTGCCTCTCTCCACACACAGTGACCCCTACTGGCCGGTGCTGGTATTGCAGAGTAATTTCCATTTATTCTGAGACAATTACCTGCATTTGTATTGCCGGTATAACCGCAATACCGGCACGGCCAGGCAGCCTCAAATACCGTCTGTGCCATTAAAATACCAGTCAGGTGGCAAACCTAAGAGTAGTGTGTAAAAAAAAAAAAATCTTTTTTTTTTTTTAAATGGGCCTATTCCATGGGCCTGGGACTGGGCCTGGAGCTGCAGCTCCATCAGCCCCTATGTTAATCTGGCCTTGGCCCTGACGTCCCTCCAACTTCCCTAAAGTGCATGGTTTAGCTTATTGGCTGAGAGTGATCAGCTAATGCTCTCACCCGATGAGCTGACTCTACACAACCAGTTTTAGCTCATTAGAGCAAATGGAATCTCTGTGCAGGAGCTTCCAGTTCTGGTTTTTAAACTTCTTCTGGTACAACTACTTACAAGGCACTTATTCCACCATAACCACTACATGCATTGTCGTGGTTATGGTGCTTGACATATTCTTTTAACTAAAAAGTAACATCCATGTGCATGACAGTATATGCCTGTTTACATGTCCTTACATGTTTTATACACAGGTATATTCTGCTGCGTGTGTATGGCCATTATGGTATTCAGCACTATAATCTCCACAGCTACATTATACATGTATACCCTTGCGGAAACCGAACAAGAAGTCCCACTTTGGGTAAAGACGTGGATAATAAAATATTTGGCGTGTGCTCTTTGCTTCCATTGTAAGTCAAAGGATGAAGATCTGGTCGTTGAGGTGACAGATTACAAAAGTGAGTATGGTCTTATTAGTAGGACCACTCCACAAATCTTACATTACATAACCACCTATATGAATTTTGTATCTTTCTAGATGTGGACTTTACTAAAAGAACAGAAACCAATATTGAACTTCGAGACAGGAATAAGAGCAGCTTAAAAGACGTCCAAAGTACCCTGGAAGTAAAGTTGTTAAAAAGGTTACTGGTGGAAGTTCTGAAGATCCACCAGCAGTTGGTGGTCCATCTTTGTAAGGATGAGGCTAAATCTGAATGGTACATTGCTGTTTTGATAGTGGAGAGGTTAATCCTTATTGTCTATTTCATCATTATAGTTGCACTTTTTGTCATTATGATTAGTGTTTGGTCCAACTGAATGATATCTACAAAGGAAAACAAAGCTCTAGAAAGATATCCTTGCAAATATATGTTAAGTGCGGTTTCAAAAAAGTAAAACGGATCATGTCGCAAATATCAAAAACAGTTTACAATTATTAACCAGGTCTATGCTAAAGCTTATTACAATGGAAATGGACTTTCAACAATCTTTTAATGTAAATACTAAAGATTTATATATATATATATATATATATATATATATATACAGTATATACTCGAGTAAAGGCCGACTTTTTCAGCACATTTTTTATGCTGAAAAAGCCTCCCTCGGCTTATACTCGAGTGAGTACTACTTATCTGTTGTCCGGCTCTCCCGCTCATCTGTGGGCTCATGCAGCCTCTGTGGGTGGTTCCTTTACCCGTGCCTTTTGAGGGGGGAATAATTCAACAAAGGTAAGTAAAAAGGTTTGCAGTACATCTGCCTATTGCTCTCTGCCAACTCCTAAAGATTTGCTTTTGTGTGCACTCGCTCCATCTAAGCAAACATCCAATTATCAGTATAGACTTGCTATTTCCGTACGTGGTAAAACTCTCTCTGTTTTAACTTTTAAAAGTGAATTAATTGTTCTGTTCACTTGAGAGATTTTTCATCATTTCCAAGCCATAAATGGGAAGGAATTTCAAAGTGAATTACAATGTATCCCAAGGGTCTTAAAGAGTGGATTCAGGTGTCGGTGAAGACAGATGTTCTGGATAGAGACATGCAAATGAACACACTTACCATGCCACTTTTTCTTCCTGTTTTGTTTGCGTAAAAATGCTGCAGAAAATGTTTGTCTTTTGTATGCTTACACAACTAAGCCTCAATAATAGTATCCTGGGCTCATCATCAACTGACTGAGTAAATAATGTCAGCGACTCATAGAATGTGATGGCAGATAAGAAGCATTCAGCCCATCTAGTCTGTCCAATTTTTTTTAAATACTTTCATTAGTCCCTGGCCTTATCTAATAGTTAGGATAGCCTTATGCCTATCCCGCACATGCTGAAACTCCTTCACTGTGTTAACCTATAGCACTTAAGCTGGAAGGCTATTCCATTCATCCACTATCCTCTCTGTAAAGTAATACTTCCTGATATTATTTTTAAACCTTTGCCCCTCTTATTTAAGACTATGTCCTCTTGTTGTGATAGTTTTTCTTCTTTTAAATATAGTCTCCTCCTTTACTGTGTTGATTGCCTTTATGTATTTAAATGTTTCTATCATATCACCCCTGTCTCGTCTTTCCTCCAAGCTATACATGTTAAGTTCCTTTCCTTGTAAGTTTTATCCTGCAATCCATGAACCAGTTTAGTAGCCCTTCTCTGAGCTCTCTAAAGTATCAATATCCTTCTGAAGATATGGTCTCCAGTACTGTGTACAATACTCCAAGTGAGGTCTCACCAGTGTTCTGTACAATGGCATTAGCACTTCCCTCTTTCTACTGCTAATATCTCTCCCTATACAACCAAGCATTCTACTAGTATTTCCTGCTGCTGTATTATATTGTCTGCCTAGATTTAAGTCATCAGAAATAATCACCCTTAGATCCCTTTCCTCAGATGTTGAGGTTAGGACTCTATCAAATATTCTGTACTCTGCCCTTGGGTTTTTACGTCCAAGATGCATTATCTTGCACTTATCCACATTAAATGTCAGTTGCCACAATTCTGACCATTTTTCTAGTTTACCTAAATCATTTGTCATTTGGCTTATCACTCCTGGAACATCAACCCTGTTACATATCTTAGTATCATCAGCAAAAGACATACCTTACCATCAAGACCTTCTGCAATATCACTAATAAAAATATTAAAGAGAATGGGTCCAAGTACAGATCCCTGAGGTACCCCACTGGTGACAAGTCCAAGCTTCGAATATACTCCATTGACTACAACCCTCTGTTGCCTGTCACTCAGCCACTGCCTTCCCCATTCAGCAATATTGGAATCCAAACTTAAAGATTGCAGTTTATTGATAAGCCTTCTATGTGCAACAGTGTCAGAAGCCTTACTGAAATCTATGTAAGCAATGTCTACTGCACCACCCTGATCTATAATTTTAGTTATCCAATCAAAAAAATCAATAAGATTAGTTTGGCATGATCTCCCTGAAGTAAACCCATGTTGTACCCATGTTGTCCCTGATCTTGAAATCCATGTGTTTTTAGATGACTCTACTTTGTGAATCTGTGTGAATATCAGGAATGTATACAATGTTCACACTTTAACAGATTTAAAGAAACTTCAAGAAAAAAATGTTCCCTTTATAGTACTATGTTAACCTTTCTTTGATGGATCTTTTCTAAGCCCCAGGGCAGGGGTCAAGTCCTGGGGAAAAAAGTGTGGGAACTCACCCAAGATTCCCCCCCCCCCCCCCCTTAAAAAATAAAATAAAATACACTCCTATGCATATAGTGCAGTGCAGGGTGTGTATAATGAATGTAGTGTGTTTGTAGTGAATGCAGAGTATGAATAATAAATGTAGTGTGTTTGTAGTGAGTGCAGTGTGAATAATAATTGTAGTGTATTTGTAGTGAGTGCAGTGTGTGTATAATGAATGTAATGTGTTTGTAGTTAAAGGACCACTATAGTGCCAGGAAAACATACTCGTTTTCCTGGCACTATAGTGCCCTGAGGGTGCCCCCACCCTCAGGGACCCCCTCCCGCCCGGCTCTGGAAGGGGGAAAGGGTTAAAACTTACCTTTTTCCAGCGCTGGGCGGAGAGCTCTCCTCCTTCTCTCCTCCTCCTGGGCTGAATGCGCACGCGCGGCAAGAGCTGCGCGCGCATTCAGCCCGTCGCATAGGAAAGCATTTACAATGCTTTCCTATGGACGCTTGCGTGCTCTCACTGTGAAAATCACAGTGACAAGCACGCAAGCGCCTCTAGTGACTGTCAATGAGACAGCCACTAGAGGGAATAGGGGGAAGGCTTAACACATTAATAAACATAGCAGTTTCTCTGAAACTGCTATGTTTATAAAAAAATGGGTTAACCCTAGAAGGACCTGGCACCCAGACCACTTCATTAAGCTGAAGTGGTCTGGGTGCCTAGAGTGGTCCTTTAAGTGCAAATTGTGTATAATTAATTTAGTGTGTTTGTAGTGAGTGCAGAGTGTGTACAATGAATGCAGTGTATGTAGTGTGTTTGTAGTGAATGCAGAGTGTGTATAGTGAATGTAGTGTGTAGTGAGTGCAGAATGTGTATAATGAATGCAGAATGTGTATAATGAATGCAGAATGTGTATAATGAATGCAGAGTGTGTATAGTGAATGCAGAGGGTGTATAGTGAATGTAGTGTGTTTGTAGTGAGTGTATAGTGAATGTAGTGTGTTTGTAGTGAGTGAAGAGTGTGTATAATGAATGCAGTGTGTGTGAGTGCAGGATGATGTGTGTGTGAGTGCAGGATGATGTGTGTGTGAGTGCAGGATGATGTGTGTGTGAGTGCAGGATGATGTGTGTGTGTGAGTGCTGGATGATGTGTGTGTGTGAGTGCTGGATGATGTGTGTGTGAGTGCTGGATGATGTGTGTGTGTGAGTGCTGGATGATGTGTGTGTGTGTGTGAGTGCTGGTGCTGGATGTGGATATGTGTGTGTGTGCTGGATGATGTGTGTGTGAGTGCTGGATGATGTGCGTGTGAGTGCTGGATGATGTGCGTGTGAGTGCTGGATGATGTGCGTGTGAGTGCTGGCTGGTGTGTGTGTGAGTGCTGGATGATGTGGGTGTGTGAGTGCTGGATGATGTGTGTGTGAGTGCTGGATGATGTGTGTGTGTGTGCTGGATGATGTGTGTGCGAGTGCTGGATGATGTGTGTGTGAGTGCTGGATGATGTGTGTGCTGGATGATGTGTGTGCGAGTGCTGGATGATGTGTGTGTGTGCTGGATGATGTGTGTGTGTGGAGTGCTGGATGATGGGTGTGTGTGAGTGCTGGATGATGTGTGTGTGTGTGTGTGCTGGATGATGTGTGTGTGTGTGTGTTGGATGATGTGTGTGTGTGGAGTGCTGGATGATGTGTGTGTGTGTGTGCTGGATTTACGTGTGAGAGTGCTGGGATGATGTGGAGTGCTGGATGATGGGTGTGTGTGTGCTGGATGATGTGTGTGTGAGTGCTGGATGATGTGTGAGTGAGTGCTGGATGATGTGTGAGTGCTGGATGATGGGTGTGTGAGTGCTGGATGATGGGTGTGTGAGTGCTGGATGATGTGTGTGGGGGGGGGAGCATTTTTTTCTTACTTTATGTGTATGTATATTTGTTTATTTTATTCCCCCCTCCCTGCTTCTTACCTTGTCAGGGAGGGGGGAGATCGCCTGGTGGTCCGGTGGAGGGAGCCAGCCGCTCGCTGCACAGAGGGGCCATCACACACTGTGTTCCCTCTCCAGCTCTAACTCTCGCGAGACTCGCCTGTGCGGAGCGTTGCCATGGTAACAGCCGCGGGTCTCGCGAGATTTATAGCTGGAGAAGGAACACAGCGTGTGATGGCCCCTCTGTGCAGGTAGCAGGGCCGGTCCTGCAGGACAGGTAACGGGAACGGCGTTCCTGCTGTGGAAAAAGTGCAGGAACGCCGTTCCCATGCGTTCCTGCAGGACTCGAGCCCTGCCCCAGGGGTTACTAAACTTCATCATAATTTGATGTTCAGACAGGATGGATGCCTACATTACTGATGCCTCAATTAAAGGACCACTCTAGGCACCCAGACCACTTCAGCTTAATGAAGTGGTCTGGGTGCCAGGTCCAGCTAGGGTTAACCCATTTTTTTCATAAACATAGCAGCTTCAGAGAAACTGCTATGTTTATGAATGGGTTAAGCCTTCCCCTATTTCCTCTAGTGGCTGTCTCATTGACAGCCACTAGAGGCGCTTGCGTGCTTCTCACTGTGATTTTCACAGTGAGAGCACGCCAGCGTCCATAGGAAAGCATTATGAATGTGCTTCCTTATGACCGCTGAATGCGCGTGCAGCTCTTGCCGCAGCATTCAGCCGGGGGGAGAAGAGGAGGATCGGAGGAGGAGAGCTCCCCGCCCAGCGCTGGAAAAAGGTAAGTTTTAACCCCTTTCCCCCTTCCAGAGCCGGGCGGGAGGGGGACCTTGAGGGTGGGGGCACCCTCAGGGCACTATAGTGCCAGGAAAATGAGTATGTTTTCCTGGCACTATAGTGGTCCTTTAATGTAACTTGTAGTAGCTGCTGCATTTTCCACCCTAAGCTTATAGTCGAGTCAATACGTTTTCCCAGTTTTTTTGTGGTAAAATTAGGTGCCTCGGCTTATATTCGGGTCGGCTTATACTAGTGTATATACGTTATATATCGTGGAGGCAGAGTTCAAGGACATGATGGCTATCTTGTTACTCTAGTTCATTCAAATGTACAAGGTCACGAAGGAGCACAGGGGGCATAACTGTAGGTACTTGAATGTGGCCCCACACCAATTACAGGTATGCATAGGATCAAACCTGTGATTAGGGAGTATGAATATTTTCTCTGCGAGGAAGGGTTAAATAAAAAGACTGGTTAATACAATTGGAAACAGAGGAATATGGGAATTAGGGAATATGGACAAATAAAATAGATAACAGTTTATGTAAAAATATGTAATTACTGATAGTATTAAATTGTGCTACTGTAAAACATAAGCATATCTAAAATGCCATATTTTATATAAGCTTTTGTATGAAAGGTACCATATTTCATGTTTATTCTGAATTCCCAGACACCTGGTGTTTATACAGACGATTGAGTGACTTTGACATGCAATAATAATTATATAAAGCAGTCGCAAATGAAAACTAAAGAAATATATTGGATATATAATGTATCTTTACAAATATATAAAATAAATGTTTTTGATTTTTTTTTTTAACATAGTGAGACAATTTCTTACACTAGTGTCATGTGTGTGCTTACTTGTATACAATTCCACTATTATTGTTTTTCTGTTTTCATGAGAGAGAGCGAGAGAGAGAGACAGTGTGTGTGTGTTTTGTTTTGTTGTTTGTTTGTTTGTTTGTTTTTTGACCGGGCTGTCACTCATAGTCTAGTAAAATTAAAGATTGTGATTGCTTTACAATAGTAATCAATAGACTTGTGAGCAAATCATTTTCACCTGCGAGAAACTGATATAGGCTGAAGACACTTCCCTAGCTGATAGGCCTGTCCAACAATGCAATCTGACCAGATTTATAGTAAGTTTAGAAATGTTTACTACCTCCTTTCTAAAGTTTGTCTTGCTTTATTTTCGTTTGCATATTATATTTGTTTAATATTGTTTATTAGCTGGTTTAAAAAATTAATTGTCAAGTAATCCATGTCTAGGTTGCGATATCCATTCTGTTTTCCTGGACACCCCTGGCATAAATACCGCGGTCGCAGGGGTCGCAGCTGCGACCAGGCCCAGCCCACCAGGGGGCCCGGCCGCCCTGCGACCAGGTATGTACGCCGGTTTGCTAGCCTCTTCTCCTGGGGGGCCCAGAAGCTAGCCACCTCAGGGCCCCCCAAGGCTGGCAGTGGCGTTACATGGCTAGCGCGCGTGGGAGCATTCTCCCCTGAGCCCTCTCTGCCCAGCTCCCTCGCGCGCACCGCACTGATGCCAGAGCCGGAACATGACGTCATTCCGGCTCCGGCATCAGTAAGCGGCGCGCAAACAGGAGGATCAGTGCACCCTCGCTGCCTGCAGGACCGGCCGCCCAGCAGCCCCACTGGACCCCAGGGAATTCCCTCAGCACTCCCAAAGGTAGGGATGCTGGGGGATTCAATTTAAAAATAATAATAATAATTAGTGTGTGTGTATATGTGTGTGTGTTAATGTTTGTGTGTCAGTGTGTGTGTGTGTGTTACTGTGTGTGTTACTGTGTGTGTGTGTGTCTGTTACTAATTGTGTTAGTTGGGTGTTTGTGTGTGTCTGTGTGTTACTGTGTGTGTGTGTCTGTTACTAATTGTGTTAGTTGGGTGTTTGTGTGTGTCTGTTATTGAGTGTGTGTGTGTTACTGTGTGTGTTAGTTGTGTTTTAGTTTGTGTGTGTTTGTTATTGAGTGTGTGTCTGCTAGTGGGGGTCAGTGTGTGTGTGTCAGTGAGCGTGTTACTGTGTGTGTCTGTTACTGAGCGTGTTAGTTTGTGTGTGTCTCTTAGTGTGTGTCTGTTAGTGAGTCTGTTTGGTGTCTGTTAGTGAGTGTGTTTGTCAGTGAGAGTGTATGTTTTGTAAGTGAGTGTGTATGTCTGTCACTGAGTGTGTGTCTGTTAGTAAATGTGTGTGTCTGTTAGCTAGTGTGTATGCGTCTGTTCGTGAGAGTGTGTGGTTAAAACTCCTTCAGCACTTACCTTTCTCCAGCGCCGGGCTCCCATGGCGCTGGGGATCTCTCCGCCCCAATCTGCCTCTCAGCTCCAAATGCGCATGCGCGGCAAGAGCCGCACACGCATTCAAACCACCCTTAGGAAAGCATTACTCAATGCTTTCCTATGGACGTCCAGCGTCTTCTCACTGTGATTTTCACAGTGAGAATCGTGGAAGCGCCTCTAGCGGCTGTCAGTGAGACAGCTACTAGAGGCTGGATTAACCCTCAATGAAACATAGCAGTTTCTCTGAAATTGTTATGTTTTCAGCTGCAGGGTTAAAACTAGAGGGACCTGGCACCCAGACCACTTCATTGAGCTGAAGTGATCTGAGTGCCTATAGTGGTCCGTCCTTTAAGTGTATGTATCTGCATGCAGTGGTGCACATACCACGGTCACAGCCCTGCCACCATTTGTTGCGGCCCCGGCCCGTGCAGAGTAAGCGTGGGGGGGGGCCCACAGATCAATTTTCGCACCAGGGCCCCATGGATCATGTGGTGTATCCTGGTTTTGTGCTGCCCTAGGCAGGACAAAACTCAGACGCCTCCCCCCCTTCACCCTAGCCCCTCCCCGCCACCTCACCCCACCCTTCACCCCTGCCAGGCCTTCTAAATACACACACACATTCACTGACAGATATGCATACACTAGCTAACAGACACACACTCACTCACTAACACACATACTAACAGACACACACACAGACACACACACACAGACACACTAACAGACACATACTCACACTAACAGACACGCACTCACACTAACAGACATACAGACACACACTCACACTAACAGACACACACACTCACACTGACACACACACGCTAACAGACACACACACGCTAACAGACACACACACTTACAGACACACATACTAACAGACACACACAGACACACACTCACACTAACAGACATACACACTCTAACAGACACACATTCACACTAACATACACACACACTAACAGACACACACAGGGACACACTAACAGACAGACACACACAGGGACACACACACACACTCACACTAACATATACACACACACTAACAGACATATACACACAGACACACTAACAAACACACACTAACATACACACACACACTTTTTCTTTTAAAAATTCAACCCCTCCTTACCTTTGGGAATGCTGGGGGGGGGGGTTCTCCTTTTCCCTGGGGGTCCAGTGGCTGCTGGTCGGTCGGTCAGGCGGCACTGGCGAGAGAGCACTACCCCTAAGCTGTCTGCTCAGCTCCCCCGTGCGCCGCCTGCAGAGTGATACCGGGAGCCGGAATATGACGTCATCACTCTGCGGCGTGCGAGGGAGCCGAGCAGACAGCTTAGGGGAAGTGCTCCCTCGCCAGTGCCGCCCGACTGCCTGCCTGAATTGTCAGTTAGCCGCAAGGCTAACAAGACATTTGCCCTGGGCATTTGGGGGCGGCATTTTTTGTCGCCCCCTGGAAAATGCCGCCCAAGGCAAATGCCTTGTTTGCCTCGCAGCTAAAAGGTCCGTGCCCTGCTGGACACACATAATTTCATCATGTTGATTGGAAACATCTGATTGGCAACATATGCCCTGTATTGTGAATAATGTCAATACTGCATGATTCCTGATTGATTTATCACCTAGTTTACTATCTGCACCATTTGACTAATACATACTGCAGGGCAGTCTTAGGACTTACATCCCAGGCCCTCTGCAGCCATTTGCCAATTGCTGAAGTGAAGCCTTTCAGATGTTGGTTAGTCCACCACTATTAGGTTAGTCCAGCACTCTTAGCCATTGGCTTTCAAAGGATGAGAAAATGTGTGTTACTTTAAATTTTCAACAACAGAAATATAGTGAGATATGTTATTTTCCCTTGTTATTTTTTTCTCTTACATGTATATCTGGAGAGAAAATGTAAAGAAACTCTCCTGCAAATGGTATAATTTATTGCGGTTTGCTTATTTGTACAAAACAGCACTCCACTTTTTTCACATTTATATGTTTAATCTGTGTGTACCACTTTTTTGGCGTTGGGTGAAATAGGAAAATGTGCGACAGCTAATGTATATAAATAATTCACTATTACATAAGTTCAATAAGTAGTACGTTTAAAATTAAAAAGCGCCAGTCAATGTTGTCTTCAGCCTTTTTTTTTTTAAAACTGATATCTTTCATTACCTTCCTGAATGTATTTCATCTCTGCTGTTTGTTTGTTTGTATTCTGCAATGTCCTTCTTCACAACTGTTGCCCAAAGTTGCTCTGAACATTCAAGATGCAGTTTAATTAATTATTTATGAGGAAGCAAAATGATGGACACCAGAAACTGTTGATAACGAGACAAAAAATATTAATAGTGGAATCAATTGCCCCACTAAAAGGCCGCCAAGTCTGTGTTATTCTCCACATAATACATACATTAAACTTGAATACCATTTCAACAAAGCAAATAAATGTAAATCCTTTGTTTCTGGAGCATATATAAACTTTGGTGTTATCAGTGGTGCTAAATCACACTTATTATTCTGTCTTCCTTCCCAAACCTATTAAAAATCTACTTCCAAACACTCACCTTACACCACTCGATCCACTCCTATGAGTTCAAGTTTATTTGGGAGGTCTGACATCACCTTTTGGGGTGCAGTGGCTGACAGTGCAGCTATGAAGCACAGAGGATAAATGGTACAAACATACATTTCTTAATACATAGCATTGGGAAATAAATATACAAGAAGCAAATTAAAACCGATGTGGCTTAGTAAAAAGATCAGTCAAATAAGAAAAGATAATAAAGGCCCTTCAAAAAATGTAAATTAAATGTGTCGATGGCATCCTATAACAAATATAAGCATGCCAATAGGGCTTGCAAAATGACAATTAGAAGGGCTAAACTTGAAAATGACAAGCGGGGGAGCAAGACCCACCACAAAAGGTTATTTAAGTATATTAATGCTAACAAGGTTAATAGTGAAAGTGTTGGTCCATTGGAATCTGAGATGGGTGCGTTAATCAAGGGGGATCAGGACAAGGCAGACATTCTAAATATTTTTTGGCTGTAGATTTGCAAATCCCTGTTAAAAACACCTTACAGGAAACAGGATAAAGTGCCACAGCTATTAAAGGGACACTCTACTGCCAAAATACAACATTTTAAAAATCACAGTTTAGTAGATAAACCCCAAATAAAAACATTGCAATCCTTTAACTATGCATTTTTTTCCATAGGTGATACATATAAAAACAGCTTGCAGAATCTGCAGATCTCTTGTTGTCGCCTTTGCAAGCCCTCCCTTATTAAACCCTGTCCAGATTTTTTTCCAATCACAGACTTACCAGTGCAGCTCAATGAGAAGGATTTGTGAGGCAGGTGCTCTGAGCAATTGCTGCCTTTTGCATGAGCTAACCAAACCAGGAAGTAACAGGACCACTCGTCTGTTTGAAAGCCAGGGGGGTGCAACCAAGTTAATTTAGAAAAGTGTAAATTTCTGCTAA